ATCCCCATTCATTCCCTCCGGTTGGGTGACTCCCATTGTGATCGATCGGGTGTTTCACCCCACATGGATTGTAAGGGGGGTTATTTGGGATTCGCTTGGTCCGTTGGGATGGATGGACTCGAGCGGGATAGTTTGAAGGAGTAGGGGACTGCTCGACCCATGAGGATGAGCCCAGCCGAGTGGGGTTTGGGTAAGGATGATTGACTGAAGGTGAGACAAGACGATGAGGATGGATGGTTCTTATTGTAGTGGGCTTTCTGTCATTTGGATGCCTTGATCTCGCGCCTGAAGCGGATCGACCGAGAGGGGTTCTATCGACAACCCCCGTTAACTATTAGTCAGGGCTGAATCGTCAACTAATGACGAACATAGTTGGCACAACCTCATATCCGAGATCGTGCGTCTATGTTTTGGAGTTTGGAAAGGTTGCATAAACGGAACCGAGGCGTTAAACCGATTGGGTTGTACCTGACAAGGCAGAAGCTCAAGATCATAAAACTAACTTACATCTCTTTTAGAGATTGGTTCTCGGCCCTGATGGAGGCGTTTTCGGTCCGGATGGCAGTGTTCTCAGCTTCCAGTGCGACCAATTTGTCTGAGTGCTGGTGCATAAGGGCAGTTAGACCCTCCAGTTTGGCCTCGAGGCTAGGATTAGTGTTATCAGAATTGTCAGCCATAGAGAGTTTCTTTATGTAGCAGGGTTTGTGAGACGAATGATTGCCAGAGGCCTCACGGTGGGCGCCAAACTGTAGATGCAAAAATCTACCTTTATGGAAAAGGGGACTGATCCCGTAAGGTTGAGGCCACTAGCGATCTGTTGCACCTGCACACATAAGAAAACAAACGTGACGCAGACGGAAAACACCACGGTGGTGTTTATCGTGGGCACTCTGACGCTCAAATTAGTAAGGCTAAGTGAGGCTAGTTTAATGAGGGTTAGGGAGAAGAAAGGTTATCGGAAGTCTAGTCGAGGACTATGACTACGGCTGTAATGCGGAGTTCTCAAGGGTGGGAACTCCAAGGTTTGAAGGTGTAATGTCTTTGTCCTTTGTGAGAGGGCTAACCTCTGTTTAAATAGTGACTGCATGGTGTTCGAATCCTGGTGGGACTGGGAGTCCTTGCAGCGGTGGTCCTCCCAAAGAGTGGAGCCTTTGGCTCTTTTATCTCAGCAGGAAAGGGAGTCCTAGCATGCCTAGGATACGGACCTTAGACGAATTGGGATAGTAATTGACTTCCTTAGAAGAGTTAAAGCAGTATTGCAGTTCGTAGGCAACTGTGGGTTCCAAGTTGATCGTAAGTCCATAAGGTGTTCTAGGATCAGAAGGCCTGGGTCCAGATGGGGAGGAACTAGGAAGGAACACCAGAAGGGGCCTCATTTGCAGAACTTTGAGTTGGGCCCCATCGGAATTAGGCCTGAGCTTTTCAGCTTTGTTGAAGGTGCCTTCGTCTTTGGGCCTATCTGGGCCGAGGACCTTTTTTTTGCCCTAACACATACAGAAGCAATTATATACTATAAGTTTCATGCTTGAAAAATATTAAAGAAAAGAAACATAGACGACTTTTATTTCTTACGCAACTACAAGCTTCTATGCATCGTATGGTAGTTCTATTTCCAGGAATCCTTTCCTGCACATCACTTAATGTTTGTTACCTCTAACATTCAACTCGCAACTATCAATGGGGTGAAAAGAACATACTCCCATGCCCGATAATCAACCCCGTCACTGCAAAAATTATCAAGGTTTCAACCTCTGGCTACATCTTTTTACCATTACAAAGAAGGAGAGAAAGGATCACCACAATATGTTTTAGAAGAGAAAAAAACTAGACACTTTAGGGAAAGAAAGGAATGGAGTAATAGGAATCATTAATGCTGATCTTTCAGTTCTCACTGAAACAATATTATCAAGTCATCGTCTTATTTTACCACATAATATTATATATGTAGTATTATTTATCACACAACATGGTAAAGCCAAACCACTAGCAAAGGTGTAAGTACATCTATGAATTAAATTAAAGCAATAGAAGCCAGAAAGAATATAGATCCAGTCAAATTTGAGTAAACTTATATGGGGGTTACTCTGCCTACCTTGTGAGTTGCGGTACAGAAGCCGAATGAAGCTACCATATAACATTTTTCTAAGAAATGCGACGCTTCATCAAACAGCTATTGCTTGGTAAGCCTGAGAGTGGACGAGTTATAACACTTTCATGGTTTTTTTAAAGTATCATGTACTGTATCTTCTTTTCGGGGGGGTGGTTTTGATATTTTCTTCACGGGATAAATGATAATCCATGGTGTATACATTATTTTTCAAAAATTGTGGGTGTATCTAATAGTTTACAATCTTTGAAGGGATTGGATGACTTTGGGGATCTAAATTAAATAAATAAATTGAAAGCATATCTAGTTTTTATTTAATGGAGTGACGGCTTATTGGGCCATGTTTTATTTAATTGCAATTAAGATTTGGGCTTTGAATTCCACCTCTAACTACTATCTTCCCTACACAAGCCTGAGAAATGGGTATATGAGTAATATTACAGTCATTGGAAGTAGTACATCGACTTTATGTATCGAATGACGTGGTATAATCCTAACCATTGATTATTATTAAGTTATAATTAATTAACGGTCAAAATTTCGTCATGTTATTCGGTGTACTACTCCTGATATCTCTATTATTTTTTATGGGTGTATGATGGTGTTTTAGGAAATCAATCCACGTGTCCTAATATATAACCAAATTAATAAAATTCGATTTATTGAATGATTAGTTTTGTCTACTCTGCTGACTGCTGTACATATCTTTTATGTAATTTTTTAGTTTTCAAAAAGACCTCTGAACTTAAAATATCCCATAAAATGGGATTATTGTTTACCCAGACAAATGGGATTAAGCCCAAACGAAGAATGTAAGAATGACGTGGAATAAATTAGGGTTTGAGTCAAATGTTAGAATTTAGAAATAGTAATAGTAAACGGTCGTTTAAGGGCATCTGTAGACCACCAAACAGCCGCGTATTCGTCCACTTCCTCCCTCTTTTCCCTTTCTCTCTTTCTCACTATAAATCCTCACAACTCTTCCTTCTGCACTTCACAATTCCGCTAACCACCCTTTCTATGTTTTATAGATCTTTACTTAGCTTTTTCCTTTTCAATTAATCAAAACCTTAAACTAGAATGGGTGTCAAAGGTTTCGTTGAAGGCGGTATTGCCTCAATTGTGGCGGGCTGCTCCACTCATCCCCTCGATCTCCTCAAAGTTCGTATGCAACTCCAAGGTGAAAACCTCCCCGGTACAAACGTTAACCAACAAAACCTCCATTCACTCCGCCCGGCTTTGGCTTTTCAATCCAGTTCCGCCACCGTCATTCCCTCTAATTCCCTTCATATCCCTGTTTCAACTGCTCAACCACAACCTCCACGCGTCGGCCTCGTCTCCGTCGGCGTGCGGATCGTCCAAAGCGAAGGCGTTGCCGCTTTATTCTCCGGTGTGTCCGCTACCGTGCTCCGTCAAACACTCTATTCCACCACCCGCATGGGCCTCTACGATGTATTTAAACAAAAGTGGACTGATAAAGACACTAACAACATGCCTTTGACTAGAAAGATAGCAGCCGGTTTAATAGCCGGAGGAATCGGTGCGGCAGTTGGTAACCCCGCTGACGTGGCAATGGTTCGAATGCAAGCCGACGGTCGGCTCCCTCCCGCTCAGCGCCGTAATTACACGAGCGTGATCGATGCCATTACGCGCATGTCAAAAAAGGAAGGAGTTACTAGCCTGTGGCGCGGATCATCGCTTACGGTGAACCGGGCGATGATAGGGACGGCCTCACAGTTAGCGTCGTACGATCAGATCAAGGAGATGATATTAGAGAAGGGAGTGATGAGTGATGGATTGGGGACTCACGTGACGGCGAGTTTCGCGGCGGGATTCGTGGCGGCAGTTGCGTCGAATCCGATAGATGTTATAAAGACGAGAGTTATGAACATGAAGGTTGAGGCTGGAATGAAACCGGCTTATAGTGGGGCCATAGATTGCGCGTTGAAGACTGTGAGGGCTGAGGGGCCCATGGCGCTATATAAAGGATTTATTCCTACGATTTCCAGGCAGGGACCATTCACTGTGGTGTTGTTTGTGACACTGGAGCAAGTTAGGAAACTGCTGAAAGAGTTTTGATTATGATGATGATGAAAAATTTGAGAATTGAATTGTTCCGTTGATTATTATTTTTTAAAAATTATGTTGATTTCTGTTGATATAATGAGAAGAGGAATTTATGTTTCTTTAATGAGATTATTTGTGCTGGGATATTAAAATTGTCTTTGAATTGAAGTTTGAACAAGAAGAAGATGGGAAATTGTAGACGGTCATAAATGTTGCGTGTCTTTGCCTATAGACGTGTGGTAGGCACAGGCACGGGCCTTCGATTAAGGATCGTAGAAGCTACTTAATGGGTGGAATGGAACTTTAAGTTTAAGCAATTAGGACTCAGAAGTGAGTGGTGCCCACTTTGGGTTTTTACCAAGGCTTCCTGCGCCGTTCTTTATGGAATTAAGATGATAAAATATTGAGTGGACCACTCTTTCTCAAATTGAACCACGTTAAAAGGAGTCTTGACACAAAGAGATTAGTAAATTATTAAGCAGCTTATGTAATACAGCTCCTCCAATCGAAACGGGATACGTTTACACTTGATTATACTAAACCAGACTCAGACTCACCGAGATAATGAGTCCAAGAATAAAAAAGTACCGTTCCCGTGGTCACAACTCACAAGCTGAGTAGAAGCTTTATCTCAGGTCAGGAACCAAGCAACTTCAATTAATTTAAAAATTGAATTTGCCCATACAAAAGATGCAAAATTACTGTACAACACCGCTCAGTCTCTAACCAGGTAAAAAACAAATAGACATGATTAACATTAGTAAGTTGGTTGATCTGTACATCCCAAGCTTTTTGGGGGAAGAATGGGGTCTCTGGACTAGGCACCGAAAATGTTGCAGGTTTTCTTTCCAAAAAACATCCTCATCTTCTACGCGCTTTTAATTCATCCTGCCTGTGCACAAACAATGACTGAGATATGTAGAAGACATGGTATCATCTAGAGTACGTACGAGAAGGCGTGACAGATTGGCCACCAGGTCCTTGACTTTGTTCACCGTCATAGTTCACATGACCTTCAGATCTTCCTCTTTCCAAAGCGTATTGACGTTGGCCTTCTGATCTTCTACCTCCATCCACATTCTGGACTGAATGGCTATTTGATTTCCTGAACTTTTCCGGTTTCTGTTGTGACTGGCCTTCCCGTTTGTCCACGTTTTGGAGTGATTGGGAATTGTCACCTTCTCTGCCGATTTCTGACCCTTGAGACTTGTCTGTGTTCTGGGCTTCTGATCCTCTACTTTTATCTTGACTTCGGACAGCTTGACCAGAACCTCGAATATTTTGGAGTTCACTTGCTATCTGACTCCGCCGTTCCTTCAGAAAGTTGAGTCTGGTTGTCAACTTTGTCAATGATAAAGAACTGGAGTTGCTTCCCTGTGGCACACACAAAATGATGGAGATGTAACACTAGCTACCATATCATTAAAAATGAGGCTACAAGATTAATTCTTCCGTTTGTAGATGAAATAAGCAATGAGCTTCCAATCATTTGAATAGAAATCAAATCATTCAATACGCAATAAGATTTTGAAATTCCATGGAGCATTAAGACATCATCCCCTCATCCCAACCAACGAGTAATTGGACATTTTTTTCTTTTTTTTGACAACAAAATATAATTAGCTGAGATGATACAATGATAAGATACATGCATTCTGTAAGATATGTTACGTAAAAAGTAATTCATTGACTCATTGCTCTAGAGCCCTTCACAAAAAAGAAAAAAAAAAAAAAAGAGGAAATAGTCTGGTGTTTAAATTCAATTATAATCATATCAATTAAACTACTATCCTAATAAAAGATAATAGAGCCTACCTCACCCTTTGAACCAGATTTCTTAGAATTGCTAGGAGCGGTAGGCTTGGAGTTGCTATTGTTTGTTGAATCCAGCTGCTGGTTTTGAGATGAATTTTTATTCGGTTTAGAAGTTGATTCCCGCTTCCTCTCGTGATTGTTACTCTCTGCAGCTCCATCCAAACAAATATCCTGCTAGATTATTATTTGGTCAAGAAACAAGTTAGTAGGTTTCACGTTGAGACTATTACTCAACAATATGCCTCAAATTCCAACATAAATTTACCTTGCTTGTTGACCTTTCAGAAACATGTGAAGGAGCAGAAGCTTCAGTATCCCATTTTTTGCCCATCCTGTACCCAAAAATATAGATTTAGTGAATAGATAGGAAAAAATAAAAAGAAAGGAAACAATCTTAGCACTACCCAAAAACTAAAAGATGGTCGCCCTCTCACATTTATCAGCTTTGAAGCATAAATTACATTTGTGCACAGAGTGGTGATACTATCTAAGACTTACAACCTTAATAGGACCATCTAAAATTATGAAGAATTATAACAAATGCCCAATAGGAGATGCAACAAGAGAAGAAAATCTAAGCAAGGAACATACAACTTCGCTGACGTTTGTTGGAGCTGATTGCCTGAATCACCTGTGGAACCATGGTTTTTTTGGAGTTGTTGATTCAGCTGCACTCCAAGATCATCAAGCTTCTGCTGCAAACTGCCAACTTCTGATTCTGCTCTAACTATTTCTTCAATCTCTGCCTTCGTCTTTAGCATGTTTACATGTTAAAATTTTTAATGCAAGATCAAGACCAATTATAATAGTCAACTTTGAGATAGACTAACCTTTTCATCAATTGTAGCTGGACAAGATATAGACCCCTTAGATGTGTTAAGTACTGATTCTAAAGCTGTTTTCTTATCTCTCTCATTCTGCAACTGATCCTGTAGGCTAGCCACCTGAAAGTACAATTAACATTTAGGGTGTGTTTGGTTTAGGGAATGTTTTATTATTGGGAATGTTATATAAATGGAAAGAAAGATTACCTTGAAGATTATTAGAAATATTTAAGAAAATATGTTTAGTTAGGTTGGAATAAATTGGTGGGTATGTTTGATTGGGAGGATAAATGGGTAGGTAAGTTATATAAATTATTAAATAGCCCTCTTTTTTAAATATTAATAAAATATTTTTTTAATTATCAATTTTTGAACCATTCTTTTAACCCCCTACATTTGAAATTTTGCTAAAGCATCCCAACCATATAAAACTTTAATTTGTAACAAAATCACCCCCACCTACCCAAGGGACTGTCGACTGCCGGCCACCATTGTTGGCAGCCACCATAACGGTATCGGTCGGATTTGGCCGATCGTGCACAGTTAAGACTGTTTCCAGCCATGGATTTGTGATAGATCCATGGCCGGAAATGGCCAGATCTAGCCTTTTCATGGCTAGAAACAACCTTACCAGCACAGCCAACCAAATATAGCGGCCATGCGTCGTTTTGGTGACTGCCGATGGTGGCTGACGACCGGTAGCCCCTTGGTTGGTTGGGGGTGGCTATGGTCTTGGGTAATTTTTTGAAATTCAAGAGTAATTTTGTCTTAAAAATCCTGAGTATAAGGTTTAAATTGTCCATAAATTTTATGGTAAATTATTTAGATAACAAGGGCATTTTTGTCCAAAAAATTTATTAATAAATAATAAAATTGTAACAAAAATAAGATTACCAAATAATCTCAAAATACTTAAAAAAAAAATAGAAGAAATCAGATTACTTCATATATTAACAATAGTTTTTACTATTGGTTTTGGAAGATTACCTAAATATTATATTACTTGATAACCAAACGTAATTAAGTAATATAAGATGACATTACCTTAGTAATCTCATACTATCCCCAACCAAACACAACCTTAAGATTTCTCTCAATTTCCCCTCAAAAGTTCAATAGACAGTTGAATATCAAAGGGTGCGTTTGGTTTATTATTTTGGATAGGATTTTGGGGATAGTATTGGATAATTGAATATGGGAGTATTACGAGGTAAAATTTAAAAATTTATAAAAAAACCCCCTAAGTTTACTAATTTAATAAATCCCCCCAACATGTAAAATGACAAAAATACCCCCACCACCTGCAGTGCCAGATTCCGACCACCACCGTCGGAATCTGGCCGAAAAATTGTGTTACGACACAGACCGGTCGGATCTATGTCGTAACGTGTCGTTATGGCCTTTTTCGGCCAGATCCACCACGGATCTGGTCGAAAAAGGCCAGATCTACGGCCTGCTGTGGCCGTCGACGGCCGGAAAAGGCCAAAACGACGGCCATCTTTGGCCGTCTTTTTCGGTCAACGATGGCCAAGATTTGACATCTGGCCTTTTCCGGCCAGATCCGTGGTGGATCTGGCCGAAAAAGGCCAGATCGGTGAAATTCCGACCATTTATGGTCGGCAGGTAGGCCGTTGTACAGATTCCGGCTACCACCGACGGTGGTTGCTGGAATCTGGCAAGAATAGGTCGCGGGGGTGTTTTTGATAATTTTTAAACTTTTTTTTCAGGGTGTATTTGATGAAATTAATAACCTTATGGGGTCTAAAAGTAATTAAAAAAATAGGGTAATATTTCTGGAATAATGTGCCAAACATTATTTGAAAAATAGGATTGGAAATATGGATAAAAATGATAAGCCAAACATGGCCAAAACTACTTGTGTGCAACTAATTTCCTAATTAACGTACAGAAGCAACTATATACGATAAGTTTCATGCTTGAAAATATTAAAGAAAAGAAACATAGAAGACTTTTATTTCTCAACTACAAGCTTCTATGCATCATATGGTAGTTCTATTTCCAGGGATCCTTTCCTGCACATCACTTAATGTTTGTTACCTCTAACATTCAACCCGCAACTATCAATAGGGTGAAAAGAACTACTCCCATGCCCGATAATCAACCCCATCACCGCAAAAATTATCAAGGTTTCAACCTCTGGCTACATCTTTTTACCATTACAAAGAAGGAGAGAAAGGATCACCACAACATGTTTTAGAAGAGAAAAAAACTAGACACTCTGGGGAAAGAAAGGAATGGAGCAATAGGAATCATTAATGCTGATCTTTCAGTTCTCACTGAAACAATATTATCAAGTCATCGTCTTATTTTGCAAACCAAGGAATTTCTGAGAATCTACATGCTAAGTTTCTCTTGGAAGACAGAACCATGATATATTAGCGGAATTGATGCAAAATTTATGGCAGCTATAAAAACCAAATGGATATGGGTAGGAGAACAGCATACTTAAGCCATAAAGTCATAGCACACACCTTTACTATTCTAGACATAGACCACATAAGCATCCTGGCATGAAATAAGAACAGAAAGAGAAACCATAAAATAGTTTATTATCCAAAATGAAACATACATCTTTCTCAAGAGCTAGACGACGCTCATGCAAGGCCTTCTTCCGTCTTTCCAAACCAGCTTGCAGAATCTCATTTCCTTTTGCCTTTAAAAGAAAAAAAAGACAAAAAAAATTAAAAACAGATCCATACATAATACCTCATAATAGACATATTTAAAGTCTCCACCTCATCTGCGATTCTGTTTTGCAACTCAGATTTAGTGGCCTCAAGCCTCTGGATCTCAGCCCTACAAATGGTTCAAAAGATTAGATGCATACATCAGATAAAATAAAATTTGATGTCACTACAGGAAAGAAGTTCTGAATAAATTTGTAAATGTGGTATTTCTATCAATTGGGAGAAAACTATTGTATTTGCATCCTAAACTTGGAAGGTTAATTGCTACTTCCTGTGCCACGACTATACAAACAAACAACATTACATCATACAAAAAAAGTTGTCTTAAGATATTATGGGTTCATTCCCTTTTGATTCAAGTTCAAGAATCATTTCAAATGTTGAAACAACCAATCTTCATCTGAGGATGCTAATTTCAAGTTTGTATAAATCACACTAAACAAGATGAAAGAACCACAAAAATGTAAAATAGGCAGAAGTACAGAAAGCAATTATTTAAAACATATGCATCACTTACTCATCTTCAACGGGTAAGTCAATGGATTCCATGGGCAGGTTCTTCTTTGCCTGGACTCATTGGTGGAAAAAAAAAAGACTTGAGTAAAAACTAAAACTCGTGAAAATTCCTAAGTCTCTTTTGCAAGAGCTAAAATTAATCTAATTGGAAATGTTATCCCAAAATCAGAAACCTATGTCATAAATTCTCAATTATACTCACAGCAGTTCGTCCCCAAACAGTGCCACGCCTGACACCAGGCTCAGGTCCATTTGATATGCTAGTAGATTTCTGCATGCATGAGATCATATTATGACTACTTAAATTATGCACTGAACTTGTTCCTTTAGATACATCTTCTAGTTGTCCAGCAGATTCGTTAGCCTGTGTTGCCAAATCAGTTTCACCCTGATTTAGAATAGTCTCACTCCTCTTTACATCTTCCTGTTGAGGCATTGAAATCTGATGTGTACTTGTTGATGAGTTCTGGCTGACTTTAAGATTATCACTACTTTCAGGAGACTTGGAACCCAAGTTGGAATCCTGCATCTGTAAGGCAGTAGGATCAGGACACTTGGAACCTAATCTGAAATCCTGCATCTATAAGGAAGTAATATAAGAATGGTACTTTTTTTGTTCATTATAAAAAGAAACAAGTCATAATTGGAAAGAAAACAATATAGTGCATATGAAACATAATACATGGTAAAACATACATAGTTGAGATACAATTTAAGAATAGACAACATTGGATGAGAAAATCTGCAGCTGTTGAGATTCTTGCCGATTTTAGTTATTCTATAGGCCAGAATCCTAGAAGTGATAGGAATTACAAATTGTAGTTTAAAATTAAAAGGATTTAGGTTACTTCCTAGTTTTTCTCCTTATTTATCTTTGTACAGATGTAAAAACTTCCCAGCCTATTAATAGGCATGTAACTTATTGAAGGAAATATAGAATAGACTTATTTCAGTTCTGACTTCAGTAACCAAACAGAAATTGAGGCTACACATGAATTCATAAAGAAAAGCCTGTAGTTCCAATGGCTGAGTACCATTGGCTTGGGGCACTTCTGTATGATTTGCATTATTCCATCCCTAGGGAGGGTCAGAAAATACCTTTGGTAAAAAATAAAAAGAGAATATAAAAACATGAAAGGAAAGAAGTGTGATGAGAAGGCTTTACAAAGGAAGATTTAAATCTTAAGGGAGGACTTCAAGTGCATGTAGTTTAAGACCTCAAGACCATATATATCTGCGACCTGGGGATGGGGAGGAGAAGATAGACAAATGAGAGAAACAACAGAGTGCTTTAAATATTTTTAACCGAGGATTCATCAAATTATGATATATCCATAACAAAACAGAAGCACTAGATACTGAATTTAAAGCCCATGCATACCGGAGTACTAAATATATTACTTTTTCCAGTCAAATCTGAACAAAAGCAACACCAATATAGACCTATCATGCTTAGGAAGCAAGAAGATGAAAAATAAGAAATATATTAACAACTAAGATGAATAATTAACTGAATTATTTAGATGGTACAAAGGATGGGAAAAAAAACATTTAATAGCAAATGAAATGAGCAGCGCCAAAAACAATGAAGGGTAAGAACGGAGACTGCAAGTGGGTATTCTGAAAAGTCAATAATCCATAAATTTAGCAATTCAATGAAATAGTTGCCCGATGACAGAGAGAACACAAATGATTTTGTAAAAGAAAGGCATTGTTTCTTTGGCTAAAGGTTCAAGCAATTAAGGTGGAAAAATATTTGGTGTGATTTCTAAATAGAATTGAGGGATGTGGAAACAATCAATAAATGATATGCTTGACTCCCAATTAATACACTCCAGCTACAATATCACATAGAGTAACAAAGAAACATAACCAATTATCAAACAACGTGAGGAGATGCATTTATTCACCCTGGGTAACAAAAAGAAGTCTGGCATTATGTATGTGGAAGGCTTCACTATTCTAGGATTTTAATATCACGTTTATAAGTAAAAGATACCCTATTGTCATCCCGATCAATTTTTGCAGAGCCACAACTCTCACTGCATGATTCACTTGATGCATTTTCGAGATCATCATCTGTATATGCATCAGAATCTTCTGTCATGTCATCATTTTCATCATCTTCATAGGACCCATCATCATCAGAAGCCTCCTCAGTTTCACTTCCGCTTTCTTCTGAGTATAATCCAGGAGACAAAGAACCTTCCTGCAAACACAATGCTAGTTAATATAATAAAACTCAAAATCACAAAGTAAACAGAAACTAAAAGAAATACTAACAATAGGAATATGGAAAACGATGTTTCCTAAATGTTAAAATTTTTTATTTTTCATGAATATTCTTTTATATAATAATATGATTGAAGTTAATAAACATTCATTAAACTTATGCTGGGTCACCACTCATTGATTGCACTAAAATTTCCAATATCAATCAGAGTATTTCTGCTTTCATTGAGCCTGTATTTTATTTTACTAATCCAAAAAAAAAAAAAAAACTTGCATTTCTTGTTCCTTTTGAGAAGGAAATATCAGACTCTAGTAGCACAGCAAACATACACATAAATTTGTAAAGTTAAGTTAATGTTCTAAGCAGAATAAGAAAAATCAATGAAGAGACAGTATAATCAGAAATGACTTCTGGGATTCAAATATAGAATAGAAAGCAATAGGATGTCTTCAAGTTGATTTAGACTCCAAAGTAACTCTTCCACAGTTGACCATTCCAAAGAGAAATATCAAAGACTATGAACATCAAAGGAGCTCCCATATGTAATTATGATGACGTTATAGTACAACAAAGACAAATTTTCAACATGCTGATTAAGAAAAGACATAGTCTTATAGCCCAAACTAGTTAGTGTATGCGTCACCCATATAAGAACTAAACAAATAAGAAGTGGTTACGCCTTACCCCAAATATATTATCATACTCTTCCAATAATGTTATGACAATGGCTTGAGCATGATTGGCTGCAGCAGCTGCTTGCAGAAGTTGAACAGAACCGTCAACACCCACATCAAAATCAGTTTCTATCTCACAATCACCAGATAGAAGGGGACGAAGAAGTAAGGGTGCCATGCAAGCCGCAACAGCAGAAGTGCTCATTCGATTTACAGTTTTGCTAGAAGCAACAGTTTGCATCATTGTAAGTATTCTGAACAAGAAGGGAAGAATTAACAGATTGAAAACTGGAGAAATGTGGAAATGTGACTTGGTGCCAAATCAAAACATGATACAGAAAATATGGAAAAGAAAAGGAAATAATTACCCAAATTGATTACTCAAAAGGAAATGGATTAATAAAAAGTTGGTCAATGATTTCACTAGTAATTATTCGCATTTAAGCAAATATCTTGCTGATAATCAGTTAGAAATAACAAAGTTAACTATTGCAACAGTTTTTCATTACTCAACAATTTCTGCAGCTTTAAATTATCTGCTTATTACCTTTTCTTTCAAGAAATAATGATTTGTAACTGGATAAATAAGAACAGATGCAAAGTAATGCTCACAAGATTTACACCAGATTCATGTAATAGAACAGAAACCAAAAACAAGAGAACATCCTTTCCTAGCTCCACGCCTCCACCCCAACTTGAAGTGAAAGTAATAACAGAGAAAAAGAGACCATAAGCTTAAAAAAAATTAATGAATTCACGACCTCTGCAGTAAGCGACGATTTGGCTCAGGGAATGTTTCACATATTGCGGTACGTATAGCGTTGACTCTACTGCCACGATCAGTTCCTAATCATTGTAAAACAATTAGTAAAAGATCCAATATAGAGAAGTAAAACAAAATGCTAAACAATATTTTCTTTAGAAGCCTACAAATTTAGTAGTAAAAACCTAAGCTGGTGTATCAAAAAGAATAACACAAAGTTCCAAAACAGATTGCTTGAAAAATTAATCCTGCATTCAGTCTCATATAATGATTGAAGAGTGAGAACGTAAGTTGGTAGTTCAGTACTTGTTTCATGGACCAAACCATGCAGTTCAGAGTCAGCACTGTCTGTGGATAAAGGCTCTATATGTAACACATATAAAGTAATTTGCAGAAAATAATGATACACTACTTCATAAGGCATTCTTCACATTATTAATAACAATTGTACAATACATATTAACTATAAATTGAGAACAGAAAGATGAAGATAATAATAACAAACACTTAACAGCGTACTTACGACGTGCTTCCAGAAGAGCATTACAGCAAGATGCAGGTACTGGAGAGGAAGGCAACTCCCGGATAACATACTGGTAATTATATCAAGGGCAATAAATAACAAAGTACTATATGCTGCAACCAACTCAAGATAAAAAAATATATTGTTGTGACTACAAAGGATACCTTGACACAATCAGCAACAACATGTGCATCTTCCCCGGGAGAAAATTCAGTTTTTCCTGAATCAGCAAACATAACCCAGAAACTTTTAGAATATAGAGAAATGATCTGAATAGAAAATATTTGAGATCCAGACCCAATAGTTTTGACTTTTTTATTTACACTACCAAACAAGCAATGGGAGTGACATAACATAAATACAATATCAAAAGTCAGTTTTAAAATTATATCTTTGAGTCTGTATTTAGTTTAGAATTCATAAAAGACATAAATAAATTCAAACACCAGCATACCAGAATACAATTTGACAAAAAGACATAACCAATGATATTAAGAGAGACAGAATATTGAAGAACTAGTCAAAGAACACAGTGTGTCTGAACAAACCCTGCTCAAATGCTCGAATTCTGCATTCAACGTCATCAACATCTGCAGCTTGTCTCAGGATCCCTTCTACTTTGACACCTGCTATGTAACTTTCAAATCATCAGAGTTATATATGTAAAATAAAGAAAACAAATGAAACCACTACTATGAAAAAGAATATAGTCTTCTTGTTGATTTTATTATGACATCACCACAAACATAAAACGTTAACATGGCAAAAGTATGGCTTTTTCGAGCCCAAAACAAACTTCAGAACAAGAACAAAGTAAAACCAAAGTTTGGAAATTGGACTGATGATGACAATTTTCCTCAGAGTTTCCGTTGATGAAAAAGAATATAGTCTTGTTGTTGACTATTGGATCATCCCAAACATAGCCCTTTAGCATAGCAACAGTTCAGACAAGACATTGCAACTTTCAAAAATTCATCAGTCCACCATAATTCACAGAGCAGCAATTAACCTTCTAAGTGAATGTAAAGGTCTTCATAACCAGTCTCTCTCAAGATCACAATAGTAACAAGTCAATGAAGTGAATGATGAGTCATCATTTACTTCATTGATGACTGAGGGGATTCAACATCCAAAAATTAAACTTCTGGAAATCCAAGTAAAAAAGTTAAATATCAACATTCTCAGCAATTGACCTGCAATGTTAACAAATTGAAGAAAAACTCTGGTGATTTTACTCTCTTCTCACCATGGTTCCCTACTCTATAAAAGAAAGAAGATAGTATCACTTTACAGTCATTCATCCATCACAATACTATAGCTTGCAAACAATGGTGTAAACCAAATTAAATTAAGGGAACTCTAATGATGCTCCCACTGTCCCTCAAGCACAAAATAATGTCTACTGAAAAAACAAGGAAAATAGTTTTGATAATAACCAGCAAATATGCATCAGAAATTATCAAGTTCACTTAGTTAGATGCTAAAGTACCACCAAATTACAACACAGAAATAATTAAAAAGAAAACTCACCATGCTCTTCAATAAACCGAAGGGCTTTTTCCAAAAAAGATGGAGTTCCATCAACATCTTCTAAAGCGAGTAAAATTGGTCGACCAATGACCGTGAATTTCACAGGTTTATTATTTGCTACAAAGAAATACATTATATGAAAATCAATATCTGAAAGATGGGAGAAAAGAACCAGAAAGAAAGTAATCCAAATTCAAACCATTATATGAAGAGACATGACATTGAAGAACTCATGTTCGTCATGAGCAACAGCAAACGTCAAAACGTTGTACAAGACAAAGTTGGCAAAATATAACAATAATGTATATATGAAATAAGAATAGCATAAGCTGTTCTAACGAACCATTAGGTGTCTCAGCCTGATCATTCTTGAAGATGCCTTTTTGCCCCATCACAGAAGCAGTACTAGGTGCTTGTGCCAAAGCATTCTCCAGTGCAGTCTTCCACTCGTACAAATCCTCTAAATTTTCAGCCTTTAACAGCAATAAAAATTAACACATTTCATTAGAAGATGGCAAAGGTTGAAATCAAGACCAGACAACCCTTTGTTGTTTCTAACTTTTGCCCAAAAAAATTCAAATTTGTCAATTTTTTACAAATTTATTAATGTTTTATACACTAAAAGATACTGTTGTAGCTCCCCAAGTTATTTCTAAATGAACAATTAGTGCTTGTACATCTTCATTTCTGTTTTAACCACAAGCCTTCTTTTCTTATTTTAGGTGCTGATTTTTTGGGCAAGAACATTAAGTCCCAATGTCATTGAAGCTTAATTTTGATTGAACTAAATTGCTCTTAATTATCTATTAAGAAAGTTCCTGTTGATGTTTTCAACTGGAATATTCCTAATTCCTTCAGTCACAGATATGTTTTAAGTGAAGAGAACTTCAAAATTTGCCGTTAAGACATTGATAGTTTGACAACCCACAGGAGACAATAAACACTAATAGGAAATATGTACAAGAATGCTTCCAAATGAAATAGCAAAGAGATCTAAGAAAAAAGGAAAAAATATTAACAGAAAAAAAAAAATGGAAATGAAGCACCTTAAGCGTGAAGGCTCGTCCATCACGACCATCAGGAAAGAGCACTGTCAATAGCTTTTTTTCTGCTTTGACAACCACGCTACAAATTTTCCAAACAAAAGTGTTATGAGGTTAGTAAGCTTCTCTAACTTCCTTACACTAACAACCGTAAGAAGAAAGCCAGAGTAAGAAATTAACATCAATTTTCAAAAAACAAGCCAACCTGCCTGAATTGTTGAGGTCAATACCACCAAGGGTCAAATTCACTTCACTTCCCTTTTGAGGAATAGCACTCTAAAAAGTAAAATGATAGGAGATCAAAGGGTCGAAATCTTAATAAAGCAACATGCCAACAAGCATGGGGTAAAACAAAATTAATTATTATAACTCACTGAGTATACAACACAAATAAACTATCCATACAACTAATTCATACTGATTGATGTAGCACCACTATGTAATTGCCGAAGTCATCTATATTTATTTTATTTTATTTATTCTTAACATTGCTCATTCATTTACTTTATTCCACATCAGTTTCTACAAATTAATTTGTATATGTAATATTATTTTTAACCTGCAAACAGTCATAATCCATGGAGATTTTGCTATTTTTCCTCATCCCTAAACACTTAAAGTTCCTTTTAAAAATAGGTAATGGAGCCCATTGCAGCATCTGCCTTTCTTCCCAAACCATCAAAATTGTGTTTTGAACTAAATTATGAATACAGAGGAACTACTGAATGAATTGTTTTTCCTTCATTCTAATACAAATTTGTGCTAGAGAAACCCAAACAAGGTTCAGCACTTTCTTCAAATGATTAGTCTAGTTGCTTTTTCAATCACGTTTAAGAATTAACTGCTAAGACATCAAAAGGACAACCCTTGCCATGACACAGCGACTACCGCAGGATATTAACAATTGTCTCTCCTTGATAGAGCTTTATATCATTATATTTCCTACATTCTTTCAGCTCTATATCCAATACTTATGACAAAAATGCATGTGTATAAAGACATTATTTATCAAAACATAGGTACTTACTGGATCACTTCTGAAGAAAACCAGAGAAGTATGTGTTAAAATAAACCACCTCTTCTTCCAGGATGTCCATCCAATTCCTATAATAAGAAATTTGGTTTCAAACAATGAAATGATAAAATGAAGCCCTTGAAACATTAAAATCCGTGCAGCATATTAAGATAATGATGGAACTCACCCTAGAATAGGAATTTCCAATTAATATAATAACATATCTAGGAGTAACAGCATCATTCAATTACATAAAGCAATACGATTATTGCATCATAAACAGTAAAAGTTTTCTTTCTTGTTAAATTACAAACTATTTAGTTTCGAGCAAACATTTGTCACCAGAAAAGCAGTAACTATTCCCAGATAACAAATCAGTGTCACACAATTAAACAGATTGATCAAAACAACAGCTATTGATTCAATGATTTTTCCTATTTTCCATTCTTACATTTACAAATAAAGAGACATAAAACACATACCTTTGGATGATATAAACAGTGGTCCACTCTTGAAAACCTGAAAATATTTTATGTTAGAATATGCTGTCTTTCACATTATTTGATAAACCAAAAGCTCTGAAAACAAGAAACTAACAGCAGAAAAACATTGGACTCGATTAACAAGCAATTCTACGAAAATAATGAGTAATTCATCCTTGTGCACCCCAATTCATCTATTAGTACTGTAGGCATAGAAATAGACTCGTAATGATTGAAAATAGAAGTCCAAACGGTGTGATGGACAATACCAATGATGATTTGATCAAATACTAAGGATCTAGATTCAGCTGGCGTTGTATTGTAAGCCAAATTAAATTCAAAAACAAAAAAGAAAATTCATAATTACCGCATTGCCGGGACGAGAACGATGATCAAGGGCACCAGGTGGCTGCCCTGGTGGAGGTCCAGCTCCAGGTGGAGAAGGAGCCGGGGCTGGGACCGGAGCTGAAGCAGGTGGACCTACATTTACCTAAAGTGACAATTACACAAACTATTACAATTACAATGTACGTTCAAATTTTAAACATTCACATTCTTCAACATAAACAAATAAACAACCGTACCTGAGACGAATCAGTGCCTTTTGTAGCCATCCTCTGATCCCAAGATCAATGACCTTTGTACAATTCACATTGATCAAACAAACTCACAATGCTGGAAAAAAACATATAATAAATTTAACGTGCAGGTGAAGCATACCTTGAATTGGAAATTTGAAAATAAAAAAGGTGAAAGCAAAAACTAAAGAAGATGAAAATGTTCTGGTTTTGGAGGATAAAAGAAGAGGTAGCGTAAAGGTTGAACAGATAGAATGTTTTATTTTTATTTTTTAAATTCTTTTTCCTTCTTGCTCTTTTTTTTTTTTTTTTTTTTCTCCCTTTCTTCTGTTGCGCAGAAATCTTTGCAGACAACGGAAACCCGCTGGTCAAGCGAAAAAGGCCCAAATAGAGCGGGGCCTTCTACTATGCTGCAATTGTACACTTCAACCGTGATTTTAGTTGGAGGGAAAACTTGGAAATTTGGGCATTTCTGGTATTTTTCAGCTAATGTCATTGTTTACTTTCTTACAACGTGGGGTTGTCTTATAACACGTGTTACTCATCTGTCGGTGTATCAAGCGAGATCCTATTCTGTGATCATAGCTAAACTGTTGACGATTTTCGCGTGGGACCCGATTCATGATGGAAGGTTAGGCACTTAGGTTACCTTAATTTTTGGTTTGAGATAGATTCTAACTGTAATTGGGCCATGGAATTGAATCAGCTATAAAAATATAGGGTTAATCAAGCTCCCCTTGTAAGCAAATATTATGATTCGTTTTAAAAAAAATATTATGATTCGTTTTAAAAGGTTTTTTTTTTTTGGCAGCCAAACAAATCCTTAGCTACTTTTATTCAAAAGGGTAATTGATTGCAGTGATCCAGTGGATAGTCACCATGCCACCAACAATCATTTTATAAAACTTATAGGAAGCATGAGACGGCCCAAAATAATAAACTATGTCTCTGCTTTCCACCAGCTTAGATCTTCACCATTGATCACTGAGAACATAAAAAGCCAAAACCGTATCATTTATAATGTGTCGCTGGTCCTTGCACTTAATTTGCGTTAAAACTGCCGCTAATTCTAACTCCTTCAACAAGTTATGCAGCAACCAACAAATTGCTTCAATTACTATCAGTTTATAGATCTTACACCTGACCAAGACTTTTTAGTAGTCTGTGTTTCCATTCTAAAGACTCAATTCTCATGCAGTTGCTGCGATTATTGCGCCATTTTGAGCTTATACTAATGGAATTGGTGACAAGACAAAATCTCTGGGTTGGGTTGGGTCTATTCGTGCTTAGGCTCTGAGGAGCTTAGGATGTTAATTCTTCTTTAATTTAGCTTCTGAATATGTATATGTATCTAGTTTTGTCCTAAAATTTAGAGTTTTAAAAAGGTTGATTAAAATGGGACATGTATAATATATGACAATTATTGTTTAATAAAAGAGACCGGCACGTTGTTTGTCTCATAATTGTTCATCTAACTATCCAAAAATTCTCCAACAGTGTAAAATTAGCAATGATGATGAATTTGCATGCAGTAGGCTTTCGGCCAATCGATGCCGCTGCCCAACCCAGTGGTTTGCTGAAACCAATAAATCTACCAAGTTTAGGCCCAACTTTGACCTTTTGACTTTTTTTCTTTTAAGATTGGCCCACCAGCGGCAAAAACAAAAAAAATATATATATATATAAAATTCGAGCAAAAATATAAACTCAAATAGTTTTGAGTAATACATCCATCTAAGAGTTTATATGAAATCACTTAATCATCTAAAAGTAATTATAAATAGCAATATTATTCTGTTTCATATTTGTTTATTATTATTATTATTATCATCATAATTATTTTCCTAATGCACAGCATTATAGACTTTATAGTACACTGAAAATATTTGGTTGTAGTTTGTACATAACCAGAAATTTAAAGGCGTGAATTACCTCGTTAAGCTTTCAAATCTAAGAATTTTGAAAGCAAGTAAAAGTGTTATCCACTTAAAACTCCAACTTTTAAAAAGTAAGCCACGTCGTCCACAAAATATTCAACATGCATCATTTTTCCCTTTTCCACACGACATTGAAAAAGAAAACAAAAATGGATAACATACATCGGATACTTATCTGTGATTTTTTTTTTCTTACAGTAAAATAATCGAAATTTCCCAGTGTTTAGTAAAGACACGTCTTAATTATGTTTCATTGCATCACGATTCACGATGTATATAAAAAACATTGATAAATTATATATTAAAACTTTATATAATATAATTTACCTATTGATTAATTATTAACCGAGTTGTGACAGTTTTAACTTTTATTCTTTATTTTTTCCTTAAAAAATATTTTTTCTAATTTTAGTATTCAGTATAATTAAAAATCAGGAGTAAAAATATTAGACTCACGATATCTTTGTTATGTGTTAGTTTATACAATCAAATTAATACATGCAATGTTATGTCACCATATTTTCGTTTGAAAGTGGCATGTCTATTCGCCAAAATTTGTTAGGAGATTATTAGTTAGTACTCATATAGTTTCATTAATCAATTTAATATGAAATAATCTTAATCTTTTATGATATATATATACAAATTTATTTATACAAATTAACGTGCTTAAATATGATTAAATAATTTTAAAATGTAAATAAATTAAAGTCGTTAGAAGAAATGATTTATATAACTAATTTTAATTTGTATATAACATTACTTGTTAATTATTATATTTATTGACAACATCATCCATAAACTATAAATGATATCCATAAGGATGTGTTTGGTTGAGGGTTATATCGAATTATTGAGATAATGTCATCTTATGTTACTTGATTATCATGTTTGGTTGTTAAGTAATATAAGATTAAGGTAATCTTCCAATACCAATAATAGTTATTGTTGGTAATATATGAGATAATCTGATTACCTCAATTTTCTTAAATATTATAAGAGTACATGATAATCTTAATTTTATCCTTCACTATTAAAATTTATGGACAATAATACCCTTATTTTGAAATTAATATACATGAACTCTACCATTACAATTTTACCCCTAAATAATTAAAATTCTAGACAGTAATGCCCTTATTTTTAAAACAATTTACGAGCCACCCAAGATGACTATTACAGCCGGCAACCACCACCACCACCGACGGCCAACATCGCCGGAATGATGTTTTTCGGCCATATCGATGGTTGTTGATCGAGGATTTTTTGGGTTGGGCAGCCGTCAGTATTAAGCCCAATCTGGGTTGATTTCGGCATCACCGTCAACGCCAATTACCACCATCTTACTCCTCTCGTTTTCCTCTTCAAATTTCACCAAACCCCATCACCGAAGCTACCTCCAATCGTCGGTGAAGCCCACTGTTTTTTCGCGATTTCCCTTTTTCTTGGTGTTTTTCCGATTTTGTTTTCTACCGGAAATCACCCCCACTTGCACAGATTGACTCCCCTTCACCTTATCTTCAAAACCCCTCAAAGAACATCTCCATTATACTTCTTGATCGATGGTCAACGGTAGTTTAGACAACCAGCAGTGGCTTTGGTGGATGGGGATGTTTTTGTTAAAAATTAAACTTTTATGTGACTGAGTTGTTTTAGCAAAATCTCAAATATATGAGGTTAAAAGAAATGATTCAAAAAATAATATTATATTAATATTTTAAAAGGAAAGCAATTTAGTAATTTATATAACATACTTATCAATTTATTCCTCCCAACCAAACATATTAATATAACTACCCATTAATTTATTCCAACCAACCAAATACACTTTTCTAAACATTCTTAGTAATCTTCAAAATAATCTATTTTTCTATTGATATATTCTCATTAATATAACATTTTATAAACCAAACACACCCTCCCAATAATATAACATTCCTTGAACCAAACGTACTCTAAATTATTTTTAACATACAATATTTGTATTTAAAATTATTTATTTCTAATTTTTTTTAATAAATAACTTAATTTACTTTTTTATGTTTTGATGTATCTGAAATAAGAGTAATGCTATATTTACATCACTCTTTTACACAATTTTTATTACATTATGATATTACATATATTACAACCACATAAATTCTATTATAATATTAAAAATTAAAAATAATTAAAAATTTATGTGATTGTAATATATATCACATCATAATGTAATGAAAATTGTGTAAAAGAATGGTGTAAATAGAATATTACTCTTGAAATAATTAAAATTTGATAGACTAAAATACAAATAAATAACATAATTTACGTGAGATCAATAGTGAAGTGTGATTAGGTGGCATTTACCAATTATGGAAGTTTTGGGAGGTTGCAAATAAGTACAAGTAATTAGCTGTAAACGTAAATAAGCAGAATTATATTAACGAAAAACCCATGTCCGTGAAATTGAGAGTCTAGCTTAATAGGCCTGAAATCCAACATGTAGCTAAACCTACGGCGGCATTTAGCCCCGCTTTTTTGTCTTTTACTTCATCTTCCTTTCCATACACAACCAACAGAAACAACAAGCGAAGGAGGCACATGTCAATTCCCAACCAATCAGATTTCAACTATTTCCAATCCCCGATATCCAAGGACTAGCAATTTTATTTTGGAATTGTAATTCTAGGGTTTCAAACAAAAATCAAAATTCATTGTAAAATTAATTAAATTAATTATCGATTTCCCAGGGTATGGAAGTCGAGGTGTCCAGTTCGAAACCTTTAGCGATTGATCTTGAGAGTATGGTAAAGGGAGACAAGGAGAAGGTTCGTGTCAAGAGAAAGACTTTACAGGCCGTGCTGGAGCAGTGTCAGAGAGCCCTTGAATTGCTCAGTAACGGCAGCTTTGATGAAGACGATGACGATGGAGGCGCCGATTCCGAGGAGGAGCCGAGCCGCGAAGGATCTTCGGTTTCGTGTGACGATCCAGAAGCTGATGAGGTATGAATGAAGCGTTTTGGTTTGTGAAAAATTTGAGATTTGTAGACTAGGTGAATTCTTCAATTCAGCTCGAAAATAATGTGATGCATATGGAAGCTTAATTTTGTTAGACTTTGGTGTTTCGCGTGGAGATTTAGGTTAAATTATGCTTGATTTGTAGAAATTTGAGCTGGGATATTTTATAGTTTAATTGGTTTGATTTTCTGATAAACCTTACTTGTTTGGGTAATTGTTATCAGTTCATCATAAATTCTATGCAAAGCCTGCGTGATTTTATTTATGGTGTGTTTTTCTCTTCCAAAGTATTTTTTACTTTCGATTTAAATTAATTTAAGTTTGTAGGTTATTCAGAATCTATTCATTGACTTATACATTATAGTCGAGATCAATTTCTTTTTTTCTTTCTTGTGCATGCCATGGTATGGCTGATAAACTTATGGATATGGCTCTGCTAGCTTGCAAGAAGACGTAGCTTAACATGATATGTTTCTGTCTTAGACTCAGTGGATGTTGACTCATGATATTGAATAACCTTCTTTTAAGTGTAAACTATGTTGAGGAGATATATGCTGGTGTATGATGGGGTAGAAATGTTTGTGGCTGTTTGTAAAGGGTCATTATGAATTTGATAAGTAAAATAACTTGATTTTATTTAATTTTTCTTTCATGTGTTGTGTTTTATTTTGTAATGGACATGGATCAAATTCAGAATTAAGTTAACTGTGCAAGCTGCCGACCTCATATATGTTTTAATCACAGCAAACATCTGAATCTTCCTCTGTTATATACTGTGATGCTCCCAAATTATAAATTGAGTATGCTCAGCCTTATCCTTGAAGGCCACAGATAGTCACTATTGGAGTGCCAGCTTATGTGTTAATTGTTAATAATATTGATATTAGGAAAGAAATATATAGTTCAGGTTGTGAATAAACGAAAGATTTATGATTTTACTTCGTTTAAGTTTTCATCTTTCTATGTGTTCTATAGTATTATTGACCGAATAAGTTAAGCATATATTTCTAAGTTATATATAGATTTTACATTTTGTGTCTATCTTCCCTAATGCAGCTTTGCGATCTTCTTAAATCTCGAGTTGAATGTGCCAACTTCCTTGAAAAGTTGGAGTGTGCACAGGTGTCAGCTCCGCAGAATAATGCTGGTATGCAGCCTAAGACAGTGCCTGGTAGAAGTATTATCATATGTCAATATATAATTGTTGCTATTCATTACATGCCAATTTCTTCAGCATATTGAAGTTCAAGGTTATAGAACTTTGAAAGAATTATGTTCTGCTCTTCACAACCTAACTGCATAGAACTCCTTTTTTAATTTTTGTAGCAGAAGAAGGTAGTTCATGGGACATGGTCAGTGACAATGATATTTGGGATTGTGAAAATGCTGATTTGGATGGAGAAGATTACGTTCTTGTTAGGGAAGAAGATATAGTGGATGGTATTGCATGCTTCATGGCAGCATATCTATTGTCCCTTAAACAGACCAAGGTAATCAAAGTTTCTGCCCTTCAATAAATTTTGAGGTTCTTAAAATTAAATGGATAGAGTGACAGCATATTGATCTTTGACTTACAAAAAATTTGCTTTGTACAGTTGCAATCACCTAATAGGAAAACCTAGAGTTCCTATTTCCATATTTATTCATCGATATGGCTGTCTAACATCCTAAACATGAATGCTCTTCATTGACTAAACCAGAAAGGTTTATTAGTTAGTTATTCTATACAGAACTATCAACATGAATGCTTTCTGGTCATGTCTCTCTCCCTTCTTCCCCACTCAATTTGGAAGATTTTGGCTATTGAGGCTTCTTTTAGTCTCCACAGTTCATTAACTTCTATTCTGATTTAGCTTAATTGTATGGAAAATTGGATAAAATTTTCTAACCATGCCTTCTATGGTTTATTAAACATTGTGATTGTATTTGTATATTAAATAACTAATGCTTTTATCTGGGTGCTGTTTTTATGCAGAGTATGACTCCAAATCAACTTCAAGAAGGTGAGTTTGGCTTCATCCTAGATAGGGTGCCTTGCACTTTTTTTCATACCAGTATCTTAATGATAACTTTGAGACAAAATTTTATTAATTAGCTTGCAATCTGTTGATTACAGATAAATTTTTTGCATTAACTGGTATAAGTTTGGTTGTAAGTGATTTGGAGGTCTGATGTATTATCTTGAATTATCATTTCAGCCCTTAGCAAGACTTTCTCTGTAAAGAAGAAAAAAGGGAAGCTTCGGAAAGCTTGGGATGGAAGTAAAGTCATTTACAATGTAGCTTCCTGGGGTGCAACTGCTATTGGGTAGGCTATTTAAATTTATAATTAATCCACTGGCTTTATATTGCCTGCACAATTTTTTTTCATGTTTTGTGTATAGGATGCATATGATCAGTAAAAGTGAATGATGTGTTATCTGATATGTTTCTCATACTGTTGAGGACTTTATTTTGCATGCTTCAGCATTCTTTTTCGTTATGTAAAAATATATATCAGTCCTCTCTTTAACTACGTTTTAACTAACCTCTTGTCTCCTATTGGTTTGTTGCCAACAGGATATATCAAAACCCCGTTCTTCTGAGGGTTGCCTCGAAAGCCTTCTGTACTTCATGTCATGTAATATCAAAGCTTCTCTGATATGTCTACTTTGTCGCTTGGAGAATAGTTCTGGTGCCGAGATGCACTGTTGTATTTATGCTTGTGCTGCCAGTGCAGCTTGGTGTTTCGCAATTTGTGTAACGTTAATGCCATTCTTTGGTTGTTACTTACAGATCCATTGATTTCCATGCCATAAACTAATCTTGTAAATATTTGTGCCTCGAAGCATTCTGAGTGCAATTCAAATTCATTGGCCATGTCCTTGTAACTTATTCAGTCCTAAGCCCTAGACTTTGATTAGGTTTATATGCACATGTATTCGTTGGTATTGACGTCTGGATTACGATGATTAGAAATTTGTTACCATTTCAATAAATATCCATATCATAATATATTTCAAATCTATATAAAAGTATACGTGTTATTGTGACTTAATAGAGTGTGAATTAGACTTTCTACTTTTCTTTAGTGAGCCTTTGTATTGGCGTTTGCAATCTAGGTAGATTTTGCCTAACATTGAACTATATTCTATTTTATATATTATGCTCGGGGTTTATATATATAATTAGCTTGGGGTTAACACAATTTGGAGTACCAATTATCCTATAATATACGAACTAAATTTTATACGGACACGTCATTTTTAATATTTGAGTAATATCATATTTATAAAGTAAATATCCTAATCTTGCATTTGGAAGGACATGATAATTGGTTGATGCACGTAAAGATGCTTGTATATAAAGTATTCTAACAATACAATATATTTCATCTCCCACGGAATTGTATCTTTATGTTATGTTATGGATGGATTATGCGTAGCCTTTAGCGTAAGTTTGGGTAGAGTATTAGGAGGTTGAAACTTGAGATCTTGGTCAACCAGAGGAGGGAGCTTAATCTTTGACGTTTGAGCTAAATAGCACAATTTGAAGGATGCCAAAATAAATAAACGATGATACTCATACTAGTTTTGTTTCAGACGACAAGTAATCAAGTGCCTTGAAAAACAGCCTCCAGTCCTGAAAGTTCTTTACGCTAGATAGGCTTCAGCCTTTGTTTTTTAGCTTTCACTCCAGAACAGTAGAGCAGGTCTTTCATTCTTTCTTTTATTATATTATTACTGTAACTTTTAAAAAATTATATTATGACTGTAACTTTTAAAAAATTTGGTTATTCTCTTTACAACACAGCTTCAAAAATTCAGTTATTATTGTGTACTACCCAGTTTTGGTAATAAACTTCTGAATATCTTAGATATAAGAGATTGTGTAGAATTATGGTATCATAGCCTAACTTAACTGCAACTTATCCCCCAGTCATCTTTCGCTTAGGTAAAATGCGCTCGTAATAGCAAAGTNATTTCATCTCCCACGGAATTGTATCTTTATGTTATGTTATGGATGGATTATGCGTAGCCTTTAGCGTAAGTTTGGGTAGAGTATTAGGAGGTTGAAACTTGAGATCTTGGTCAACCAGAGGAGGGAGCTTAATCTTTGACGTTTGAGCTAAATAGCACAATTTGAAGGATGCCAAAATAAATAAACGATGATACTCATACTAGTTTTGTTTCAGACGACAAGTAATCAAGTGCCTTGAAAAACAGCCTCCAGTCCTGAAAGTTCTTTACGCTAGATAGGCTTCAGCCTTTGTTTTTTAGCTTTCACTCCAGAACAGTAGAGCAGATCTTTCATTCTTTCTTTTATTATATTATTACTGTAACTTTTAAAAAATTATATTATGACTGTAACTTTTAAAAAATTTGGTTATTCTCTTTACGACACAGCTTCAAAAATTCAGTTATTATTGTGTACTACCCAGTTTTGGTAATAAACTTCTGAATATCTTAGATATAAGAGATTGTGTAGAATTATGGTATCATAGCCTAACTTAACTGCAACTTATCTCCCAGTCATCTTTCGCTTAGGTAAAATGCGCTCGTAATAGCAAAGTTCAGAAGAAATTGGGAAAGGAAAAGCTATCCTTATCATATTTATATTTTATATATGTATATTACAAAAATGTTCAACTTCCTGGTGCCCTATACGTTTGAATATATGCAAGTAAAACTGACGGAGAGCAGCTGAGTCGTTTGCTCTCTTAACAAAATTGACTGAAACTTGTGAAGAACTTCATCTATTTTTCAGCAGGCCAAGGAGATCATATCATCTCGCAGCACCTTGTATCTCCACATTTTCCAAGCAAAAAGTTTTTAGTAATAGATGCCTCCACAGAAAGACTCCTAATAGTAGTATGTGTTACCCTTATGATTGGGAATATCCCTGCAAAGCATTGATCGCACTTCCGTGATAGATCTAGGGGGATCCAGGTCTTTCTCTAGTAATGCGTTTCCAAGTAGCTGCTGCATCTGTGAGGCAAATGTATCATCCAGAATCTGCAGAGCAACAGAAAGGGGTATCATATATCAGAAGGAAGGTAGTTAAAAAGAAAAATGTCAAATGAATAAAGGAAGAAGGCAGAAACTAATAAATCACACTGAAGGAAATAATTGTTTCTATGTAATAAGATTGGCTCACGCATAAGATTTCTATAGTTTAGGCTGCAAAAGCAATTAGCATCATTAATTAAATTCAGAAAACTTGTAATCATATATTCAGGTCGATTAACTTCCCAGGCAAGGCTAAGGTTTACAAGTATCAAAGTATTTGCCTATACTGCTGACTCAACATCATATGATTGTTTCATTCATTAAGTTGAAACAAAATACATAAATCATCCCCTATTCTACTTTTATACTGTTTTTCTATCAATCTCACTGCTCTTTGGTTACACAGAGACAACCAGAGCCTTCTCCTCCCATCTGATCTTTTACATAGAAAACAAGAGCAAACAGCAGCAACCCCACAACCACAAAATGAACGATTCCTTAATTACCTATTTTGATTAAACATCATATTTATTGGCTTCCACAGCTTTTACCAAATGGCAGAAATTAAGCTTTGATAAACTATTATCAAGCCATATTTCAATCAAAGGATTCCCAAGAGTGGGGTTTTGTGGAGAATCTGGAGATCTAATGGAACAGTTGATATCTAAGTAAAATTTGAAGGGGTTGTCACCTTGAATGTGACCATTAAAGCTGCAATCACAACCATATTTTATGCTATGGGTTTGTGTACACTATTTCATAAAATTCCACAAATTCACAAATCTGCCAGAGACATCTCAAAAAGTTCCTATGTAAAATCATCCCACTGATGCAAGATGATGAAGTCATAGAACAAAACCTTCATGGAAAGATCGCAATGCAAATTCATGGGTGTTGCAAGCCTAAATATTTGGTTATAATGCATGTATGTATGCCATGGCAAAGCTTCACTGTTTAATGTAATCATTTTGCATAAATGAAAACTAAGACTACAGCTTGACATCTTGAACTCTAAAGTTGTAATAATTTGGTACTTACAGACACTGCAATTTGTGAACCTTTATACCATGACCTATTCTCTTTCCTGTTCTCCAAGAAACTTAGAACATCCTGTAACAGAAGAAAAATCATGTAAGGTTTTGGCTGATTTCAAAAAAACAGTAGATTACCAATAAAAGGCATCTTAATGCAAATTGTCTGTAAGACCCATCAGCATGTAGCTTACCTGTCCAATTCGGTCCCAGTAGCCCCGGCAGATTGCAACAAACACACGAGTCTCAAAGACAGTGTGAAGGTGATTTATTGTATTTGTTAGCTGGTCTTTCAGTGGCTGCATTCTACCTCGTATATCAGACTCTCCCACCGTTTCCTTAGAATCTTGGAGAATCTTTTTCAATTTTGTTGCACTTTGTAACTTGGTCTGGAGAAACATAAAGAACCAATCCAAGGACACATCAGAGATCAGCAATTAAAACTTAAGATGAGAAATGAGAATTAGATCAGAACAGAAGAACAAAGAACCAAAAAGTTGTATCCAGGTGTCGAAGTAGGGTTAGAAAGATTCTCACATTCTCTGCAAGTTTCTCATCGACAGCTTGCAAGTAAGTCCTAAACTTTGTTCTTAACATCACTGTTACTTCACTAAGACGCTCCCCAGGAGCTGTGTTTCCACCATCAGGGATGCAAGAACCCCATGATTTGAACTGAGTTTCTATCTTGGGACGCAAAACATCAAGCATCCTTTTCATGGAGTTCAACAAAATTGCCAGCTGAAAAGAAGTGAATAAATTTAAACAAGATAAAAAGCACATCGTAAGGAGCCTCAAAAATAAGTGAAGTTATGACTCACCTCATCAGGGACCGTGTAGGCACATACAGACCGTTTGGTAAGTTTCTGGACATACTTCAGGCCAAATTTTTTGGGAGCCAAATTTTCCTTCAATGGTGCAACAACATCTGCATATTGCTTGTCCAAAGCTTCTACTATTGCCTTTTCTACATCAGCGATAGCCTAGTCATAGGAGAACACATAACCAAGTAAGTAAAACAAGTTTAACATATTTGTGTTCTTAATTAAGCCTCCTTAACGCATTAACTAACGCACAAACTCCACACCATCTCTCTTAACCTCCCTTTTATCTTCTTTTAACTCTAGTTTTTGATATTTTTTTTTTTAACAATATGAAATGTGGTTTATTCACTGAGAAGGTCAAGTTGATAAAATTTATGGCAGCAATAGGGTGTAAAGTGACATTATCCTTGGGCCTATTCACTCTTTTTCTTTGATTATAGGAACAATTAGCACACTTGCGATGGGCAACCAAACAAGGTTGTTCACCAAAACAGATGATACCGTNACATCTGCATATTGCTTGTCCAAAGCTTCTACTATTGCCTTTTCTACATCAGCGATAGCCTAGTCATAGGAGAACACATAACCAAGTAAGTAAAACAAGTTTAACATATTTGTGTTCTTAATTAAGCCTCCTTAACGCATTAACTAACGCACAAACTCCACACCATCTCTCTTAACCTCCCTTTTATCTTCTTTTAACTCTAGTTTTTGATATTTTTTTTTTTAACAATATGAAATGTGGTTTATTCACTGAGAAGGTCAAGTTGATAAAATTTATGGCAGCAATAGAGTGTAAAGTGACATTATCCTTGGGCCTATTCACTCTTTTTCTTTGATTATAGGAACAATTAGCACACTTGCGATGGGCAACCAAACAAGGTTGTTCACCAAAACAGATGATACCGTCAATGAGGCCAAAAGAAGAAGCCCAAGCTAAAAGCAGAGCTTCCCAGAAAATATAAGAAACATCAATGATAGTTAACAGATACAAAAAAAGTAATAAAAATGAGGGTTAATCACCCTTTTAAACATACATTCTCAAGCACGAAAACATATTCTGGCCAGCGGCAAATGATGACTTCGTAGTCATTCAAGGTCTCTCTCAAGCGGTCATACATATCATCAACAAAAGGAGTTGTAGAATGCTTTGTCCTAACTCCTGACCATTTAACCTGCAAGAAAAACAACTTTTGTTAGCATGATATGCTGGAAGTTTTCAAGTATCTTTCAATAATTTCCTTCATGATGCTTAAAAGGAAAACTACTTCAAATTTGTAGTGTTTGTACGTTTCAATTTTAGAAACCTGATTCATAAGTGGAATGATGTGGGCCTAGTGCCTTTAAATATGAAAATAACCCCATGAAAAATGAAATCAGAAGAAAGGGGAGAAAAGAAAAATGATGTATAGCACCATTTCATCAGGCCATATAATATTTAACCAAAACATGATCTCTTCTTTGCTGAATCCAACTAAACTTGGACATAGAGATTCAGGTGAGGGTACTCTTACAATACTAAACTGCATTAAAAACTGAGAGAATCGCTAACCTTTTTCACAGTTGCATATAGAAGGGAATGCAATTGTAAAGGTTATACATGTCTACGAAATTTGCTTTACAAATGTATCATACCTTATCTAATTTACATGACTCGAGCAAAGAGAGGCGCTTATCTTGAATCCATAGCAAGATATACAGGTGGAACAATTCTTTTGCATCAAGTCCACCTTTCACAGGACTGGGAAAGAAAATAAAGTGAGCACAAAAAAATTGACAAATACAACAATTAGCATTGAGTTGCATCAAGAATTATTACCTAATGTTCCAGCAGGCAAGATCTCTCTGAAAATCTGAACTTGCAATAATAAGTTCAGCTACATGAGGTGAAGGGCCAGATGGGGGGCATGCAAGAAGGAAAGAACGCAATCTACTGCAAAGCTCTGTGCTATATATGGACGACGACAGGTTTGGGAGGTCTATGAAACTGCAGCAAAAGAAAATCTCCAATAAAATCTTCCTGCAAACCTCAGCTGGCCAAACCAACAAGTAAGAAAAATTGCACGTAAGCTAATTCTTAAAACAAGTCTCTGCAGAGTGACCTTGAAGGAAAATTGTTTCCTCCATGAATATCCAAGCCAATAAAGGTAGCTTAATAAGTTTACACTGGTATGTATCTATCATATATATCTATGATTTAGTAATCATTCTATACATAATTTAACAATGATGTTACACCTATCCCAAGTGATGTACAACTGAATTGGCAACATGAAATAAATGATGAGATAATGTGAGTGATATAACTATGACAAATCAACTATCACGTCACTTAATATATAAAGTTGGGAGACTATATAAGTGCAGTATTACTCAAATTTTAATATGTAAATTTGTTATTTAACAAAATGGCACCAAAGTTAGGTGTGCCTTGACAAATGGTAACTTTTATTAAACAACTCAGAAATATGAACCCTTTCAACCTTAAAGGTCAGATAACATTCAAGGGAAAAATTATACCTGGGAAGTATATGTTTATTGTGGATCTCTATGTCAGTAAAAATCTCATTTTTAATGTTCACACAAACTGAAGTCATCTTTTGATAAGCAGTAGCCATAGCAACAGTATCAGTGAAATTCATTTCACTATTGCTGGAAACAAATTCATCTGTTTCAGCCAAATGCCTTCTTGATCTCTTTTTTGCAGCTGCCTGGAAAGAAACCACCATCAGCAAACAAAAATGTAAAAATGGAGCACCCAAACTTAAAGCAAATGCCATTATTCTTTACCTGGAAATAGTGGCACAGGTTATTCTGTGCCTCTGGAGACAGTATATCATGAAGGAGAGTATAAAGTTTCACAGCAGGTTCCAGGGCAGGTGCTGCAGCCCCAGTTGCAGGTTTGAAAACATCAATAATACCTGAGAAGGCTGACTCGTCAAGTGATTTGTAGTTCTCAAAAGTCAGAGCAAGAATCTGTTCAATCTGATCCTTGGTTTCTCCCAGGATACGGTTCTGGTGAAGCAGTCAACAATTGCACATGTTATGTTAGAAAATTATGAGCTGTAAGCATATATATTAGGAAATAATACAAATGACACCAAACAATAATAACAAAGATAATAAAGAACTAATATTGATGGTTATGATGAAAAATATCTCAATTTGAACCAGATTATACTGATCTGCCAGAGGATTCTTTATCATTCGAGTTGACTATTACTCACATAAGATGGAAAACTGAGATGTACCTCTTGATGACTCAATGTGCTCTTGCTGTGGCCCTTCATAACCACAGGCTCTAATAAGTCATAGACCAATGTCAGGCAATCGGCTGTAGGTGTAGCAATATCCATTATATAGGAAAGATACCTGCCAACACCAGAGATACCATCATTATAACGGGAATAGCAAAAATAAAGTAGCTTACAACCTTTTACCTAAGCTTGGGTAGACATCAGAAAACCCATAGTATCAGCAACCATTATATGAGGAATAGCCAAAAAGAGAAGTAATAATATACAAATCATTACCTTAGCTTGGTGTAGATATCAGAAACCCCATAGTATGAGGCAAACTCCGTTAAGAGCCATTTCCATGAACCATACAGTAATAAATTCCTTTGCTGAAATTGTTGAACTTTCATAGCAACTTCCAAAACCAGGTCATATGCAACTGTTTCTGCGACAGAGCCACACTAGGACCAAAAAGAGGAGTAATTAATACTATAAAACTATGCAAACCATAAATCTGTAAGAAAATTCCAGATTTTTAAAATAGAATGATTAGTATATACATTTAAAAAGGAAGGCATGCATAAAATTATATAGCAAGAGTTGGTCTTCATACAGTTTTACAACATTCAAACACAATAGATAACAATGTTCTCTGTTATGAATGACTTTGAAAGCCAAAAAAGAATAACAAGTAATCAAATTATTTAACATGCACTCAACTTAAAGAATGTGCTTGATTCTAATGAGTAAGTTTGCTTCAACAGTTTATAACACATAACATTTAAAACCAAACTAATGTCTTAACAGATTTCAACAAGTTGACACAATATCATTTCTTCATTTTAGATAAGTGTATCATATGCCCTTAAACAATCAGGGCCATCCAAATTAGAAATTATCCACATGATTAAAAATGATAATTAAAAAATTGGAATTTGGTAGTGCTTCAGACTATTGGAACTTAACTTTTAATCAATTAGAAGATAAACTAAAAGAAGGTTCTTCTATATACAAGTTTGACTCACTTAAAGGCAAGTATAATATAAAGAAACTCACCTTGAGCTGACTATTATCATCTGAACTTGTTGAATAATAGATATAGAGCTGTAGTTTTCCCACAAGCTCATGTTCTGGTTCACGATAAATTGACCACCAGCGCAGTTTGTCAGTCTGCATCCAACTTCAGTATTAGTCATGCACCAAACAAACACCAATGCCACCTAATTGTCAAAACTAATAAGGATGAAAACTGATACCGGATCCTCAGCAATAGTTGCTACTTGGGCTACAACACGGCCATAATGCTTCCCTTTGGAGTCCTGGACTTCAACAATTAGATCATCTCCAAGACAATCTGGAAAGCTGTGGGAGATGTCAACACCTGAAGCAAATTCTGTTCTAAAAGAATATGAAACAAGGACAAGAGAGCATACAAGACATGTGTTTCACCAGATCCAGGCTGCATTCGGATGGCATCTTCTTCAATTGAACTTTTCAACCTTAATGTGCAAGAGTATGTTTCTGTACACATTCGTAGAAAGAGAGGAAAGAAGAACAAAAAAATAAATAAATAAAAGGGTTAAAAACTTAAGCATATTGAGTTATGAGAATAAAAAGGACTGTACTAGCTAAGAGTATATTCAACAGTTAACAATAGCACCTTCCCCAAGTACAAATGCTCATGACAAAGAAATATGTTGATCTAGATTGTTCAATGTTCATAACAGGTAGGAAGCAAAGCCCCAAGTAATTAACTATCTATGATGCATATTTCCTACAAATAAAGCACACAGTTTGCAACTTTTGAATACCTTGAGCAATGTCATACGATGATGAGCTATTGCGTAGACTTGTCACACCAGTTTTTAGGAGTCCAGACACCTGTTTTATATACTGAGTACTGGCATGCACATATGCCAAGCTCTGACGAGAAAATGAACGATTTGCAGGTGAATGACGTACAAAACGGATTTTTCGAAGAGCTTGCCAGCCAGAAGAGAAAGATGACTGCAAACTGGAGAACCGATATCGGATTGATTCCAGTTTTATCACCGGTGGCCTTAAAGATGTCATACTACATCCAGTAGGTGGATCTAGGCTTGTCTTCACTTTACGCACTGCAAAATGAACAAAGATCTCATGACATACCATTAATCAGGTTCTGAATGGAGAAGACATTAAAGCTGGAATAACATCTACCTTGAACCTTCATCTTCCCAATAACCTTCTTAGGTTTAGGTGCAGCCCCTTCACTGACAGGTTCTGAAGTGCGCTTCACCAATAGTTCCTCTTCAGACTGCAGTAGCATTTGCTGCAACCTATAATTTGATAACCAATGTTTCAAGAGGGTAAGCATATAATAGACCAATTCTTGAACCTTCTAGATATTAACATTATAACCAATCTCTCTACTTAGTTTAATATATTGCAGGGTTCTCCCAACTTGCAGTTCCAAAAAGTAAGCAGAAACTAGAAAATAGCGCAAAACCTAATTATTAAGTCAATGAACTGTGAAAGACAAAGGCTAGTTAGAAACTTGACTCACCCAAATGCATCACGTAGTAGAGCACACTCATTATCCAAAAACATGGGTGCTTCCATACAACCCCTAGCCCAAGCATGAAGGCAAAGTCGAACACAAGCATCATATGCAATTACAGCATGCCATGGCCCNTTTTAGATAAGTGTATCATATGCCCTTAAACAATCAGGGCCATCCAAATTAGAAATTATCCACATGATTAAAAATGATAATTAAAAAATTGGAATTTGGTAGTGCTTCAGACTGTTGGAACTTCAACTTTTAATCAATTAGAAGATAAACTTGAAGAAGGTTCTTCTATATACAAGTTTGACTCACTTAAAGGCAAGTATAATATAAAGAAACTCACCTTGAGCTGACTATTATCATCTGAACTTGTTGAATAATAGATATAGAGCTGTAGTTTTCCCACAAGCTCATGTTCTGGTTCACGATAAATTGACCACCAGCGCAGTTTGTCAGTCTGCATCCAACTTCAGTATTAGTCATGCACCAAACAAACACCAATGCCACCTAATTGTCAAAACTAATAAGGATGAAAACTGATACCGGATCCTCAGCAATAGTTGCTACTTGGGCTACAACACGGCCATAATGCTTCCCTTTGGAGTCCTGGACTTCAACAATTAGATCATCTCCAAGACAATCTGGAAAGCTGTGGGAGATGTCAACACCTGAAGCAAATTCTGTTCTAAAAGAATATGAAACAAGGACAAGAGAGCATACAAGACATGTGTTTCACCAGATCCAGGCTGCATTCGGATGGCATCTTCTTCAATTGAACTTTTCAACCTTAATGTGCAAGAGTATGTTTCTGTACACATTCGTAGAAAGAGAGGAAAGAAGAACAAAAAAATAAATAAATAAAAGGGTTAAAAACTTAAGCATATTGAGTTATGAGAATAAAAAGGACTGTACTAGCTAAGAGTATATTCAACAGTTAACAATAGCACCTTCCCCAAGTACAAATGCTCATGACAAAGAAATATGTTGATCTAGGTTGTTCAATGTTCATAACAGGTAGGAAGCAAAGCCCCAAGTAATTAACTATCTATGATGCATATTTCCTACAAATAAAGCACACAGTTTGCAACTTTTGAATACCTTGTGCAATGTCATACGATGATGAGCTATTGCGTAGACTTGTCACACCAGTTTTTAGGAGTCCAGACACCTGTTTTATATACTGAGTACTGGCATGCACATATGCCAAGCTCTGACGAGAAAATGAACGATTTGCAGGTGAATGACGTACAAAACGGATTTTTCGAAGAGCTTGCCAGCCAGAAGAGAAAGATGACTGCAAACTGGAGAACCGATATCGGATTGATTCCAGTTTTATCACCGGTGGCCTTAAAGATGTCATACTACATCCAGTAGGTGGATCTAGGCTTGTCTTCACTTTACGCACTGCAAAATGAACAAAGATCTCATGACATACCATTAATCAGGTTCTGAATGGAGAAGACATTAAAGCTGGAATAACATCTACCTTGAACCTTCATCTTCCCAATAACCTTCTTAGGTTTAGGTGCAGCCCCTTCACTGACAGGTTCTGAAGTGCGTTTCACCAATAGTTCCTCTTCAGACTGCAGTAGCATTTGCTGCAACCTATAATTTGATAACCAATGTTTCAAGAGGGTAAGCATATAACAGACCAATTCTTGAACCTTCTAGATATTAACATTATAACCAATCTCTCTACTTGGTTTAATATATTGCAGGGTTCTCCCAACTTGCAGTTCCAAAAAGTAAGCAGAAACTAGAAAATAGCGCAAAACCTAATTATTAAGTCAATGAACTGTGAAAGACAAAGGCTAGTTAGAAACTTGACTCACCCAAATGCATCACGTAGTAGAGCACACTCATTATCCAAAAACATGGGTGCTTCCATACAACCCCTAGCCCAAGCATGAAGGCAAAGTCGAACACAAGCATCATATGCAATTACAGCATGCCATGGCCCTAGAGCACTGTATTTTATATGGGAAAAAAAAAAAAAAATTTGAGCACAGTTAATGAACAGAATAGATACCATGACTCGAGGTATAGAATTTTCAATCTGCACCATCTACAATTATTGGGTTATTTAGAGATACCTGGCATGAAATGTAGGAAGACGAGATGGGTATGAACCGGAAGGCACAGCTGATTCAGCACCAACTGCAGTTCTGTAAATAGAGAAAAGAAAAAACACAATAACAATGAAGTATTATACTGAGACAAAAACTTCAGTGCATATATCACAAAACTAAACTAATGCACCTCCCAATTTAAGTACCATTATTATGATTTTTCCAAAGAGAACCATTAAGAAAATCATACAAACCTTGCAAACTGACCAGAATTCCTGTTTCCAGTAATATCATCTGGCCTAACCCCAGACGTGGGTTTAAATGCATTTGAATCATTTTTAGTCGATGAACCATGAGTATTTTCCGTGGCCATGGCAGACTGTACTCTTGATGCTGGAACTTGTTCTGCAAACTGTTTAATTTCCTGAGCAGAACCAGAAAATGGAGGTGCACTAGGAATATCATCATCATCATCATCATCAGTGAACTTTTCATCATGTATGTTTCTTGAACGCAGATCCTGAAAAAATGATCAACTTAGCAGGCCAGCATTTCACTTTATTTCCTGAGATATGCAATAATGTAACTGGAAATTTCAATTTCCAGCTCTGCTAATAAACATGGCCAACAGTGATGAAGAATTGCCCCAGATACAATCACAAAGCCATAAAGTTCTAAAGCACATGTTCCAAGAAACAATGACCCTAAAATAAAATAAAAGAAGCACACAACTGGTAAACAGAGAATAATGATGCAGAATTGGTGAGAGTAGGAGGTCAACATCCTTCAGAAATCTACTGGATTAAGTCCTCCACTTAGTTTTAACAAACATCAGTAAACTCCACAACCAGTGTTAGTTTTATCATAACCCATCCCAGTGTTTGCTTTTAAATTTTCACAAAGATCTAAAAGTTAAATCTTTAGCTCTATTTTCAGGGCCTAACTCTCCGATCAAAACAAAGACAGAAATCATGTACCCAAATGTAGAACCGAGAAATGGTTGAGCAAAAAACAAGGATGATGTTTTCATCCTCATATAATGTTAATATTATTTGCATACCAAAATCCTGTATCGTGTAGATTGTCATCATGTCCCCCTTAAGAAAACACAGGAGTAGGCAAAGAATAAAAAGAAAAACCATTCCAGATGCATCCAATTTTTTCCATTTGTAAAATATATTTTGTCATGTATAAAAAGAATGCTCCTAAATTACTAATTGAAAATCATCCATGAAAGCAATAATATTTAATGTGAATATGTGCAAACTCACCTTTGGCATGGCATCAACCAACACAAGGTGACACAAGAAATCAAGATCATCATTGGTCATATATATGAATTATGAAAAAATTGGAATGTTCTTCTCAAATATGAGCATATTACATTTCCAAGACCAATCAAACCAATTAGCACAAACTATCCAAATTATACATGAAGTAAAACGAACCTTTTCAGCGGCGCTTCTTACATTGGCATGTGAAGCCACACTTGAGGTATACCCCTCCGAACCGTACGCTCTCCTCCTCATCCCACCAACACCACTAACACTCCCCGCCTGAGTAGTCGAAAACTCTGAGCTACCAGCTGAATCCGATTCCTCCTCCTCGTCTTCCTCTGTATAAACAGTCCTTCCATTTCCCCTCACCAACCTCTCCCCCAAGCTTCTTTCCCTTCCAAAAATCGTCTCCCTGGACGAACTCACATCTGAATACCCATAATCACTAGTGTAACGTACATGCCTTTGCACAGAATTTCCATTTCTATGTGGGATTCGTGGGTCTTGCGGTGATGAATCCAGCGAGTATCTTCCACCGTACACGTCATCCTCTGAATCAGTGGTCATGTCATTTTCAGATGCGGAGGCACTATCCCCGGCATTCCTCGGTAATGTTCTAGATACCGGGATAGCCGTCGCCGGCAAGTGACCGCTTCTGAATTTCGACGTCGGGGGTAAGTCAAATCCCCGACCGTTACGGAGGTTAGTCATAGGCGGTCTTAGATTTGAATTAGATAATGGTACCTGCTTCTGCTTAAACAAAAATTTCAAAAAGAATTCGATTGAGATTAGTTGTAAACAATGTGAGTAAATATCTACACAACCAGATCACACCACACTGAAGACAATAAAAAGAACTAATAAATATCAAAAACAAAAATGAATAAGTGAAAAATCGAAACCATGAAAGCGGACCTGTCTTACCCAGCGAACGGCATTGTTATCAAGACCTTCAGTGAACATGATTGCTAGGGCTCTGTTTTACCTGCAACCATAACCAAATTTAAACCATAAATATAAGATTAAAAAAAAAAAAAAAAAAAAAAAAGACAAGAGCCTTTAAGACATAAGCACTAAAAACAAACACTACAAAGACAATGAAAGGCCAGAGACAGACACTTACATAAGAAACGAAGTTGAGGGCTTCACAGGCGGTTGAGTGGTAAGAAATAGCGAAGTTTTAATAAAAGAGAGTGATTGAAGAAGAGATCAACCTAGAAGACTTGACAAGAGTGCGAGATTTGAGAAGAAAAAGCTTTTGCTTCTCTTTAAAGCTTCTTTTTTTCAGCTCGCTCAGTTACTCAAACCAGAAGCTGTCTCCATCCGTGCAAATTTTATGGGGTTTTGTTACTAATTTTGTATTAAAACCTTTCTCTTTTTTTCTTTTTCTTTTTTAAATTTCTTTACATTATATAATATATAATCCCGTTAGATTCTCTCTCTTCTTTAAAATTTTATAATAAACCAGTAATGCAATAGAATTATACATACTGATGTCAGTTAAGTAGACATAACTCATACGTAGTGTGAAAGCAGCAGGACGACGTCGTTAAGATGATCTAAACCCATTTTCGGGCGGTGCTAAACCTAATTATGAGAATTACTGAATTAGTAAATACGTATCGCCAGAATAAAGTGCACGTATATTCGTGGGTGCCGTGAGAAAAGTAACGAGTAGAGTGACGTGGCAAACGGAGTCCGGTTTTTAGTATTAATAAATTGAGTGATTCGAACGTTGTAAGTGGGGACATTTTTTTAGTCTAATTTCCCGCTGTAGACTCGAATGAATCACTTAGATGGTCACATGGTTATGGTTTGGTAGGTCCCATCGGGCCCATGCTTTTGTTTTGTCTTACCAATTGTGCTGTGTTACCTATAAATATAATGTTCATTTATCAACATTATGACCGATTGGCACATTCAATTTCAAACTTCACAAGGCACTGAATTGGGTTGGCTTGTGGATACTATCACCGTCTGATTTGAACCCAATTCCAGAATCAGGTGGCTTTTTTTTTTTTTTACATTGTTGATAAAGATTAGAATTTCCAAAAGGTCGTAATCTAAATTATGTACTTTGCTAAGTACCGAGAAGAAATTACTTGCATGTAAAATATTTTATTGGCTATGTTCAATTGGTAGTGAGAAACTGAGAATCCTAGCTGTACTTAACCCATCATTCCACGTTTGATTGACGGCACAAATCATAAGAGACTATACTTTAATTTGAAAATTTTTGAACAAGATTCTTATTTTTCAAAAAATTTAGTATTGTTAGGTTCTGGTGCACCTACCTTTGACTTGGGACCACATAGGTGCTACGAAACCGTTCATACTATCCAGCAATGCTAATGATGTTTAACCAAATGATAGTGGAAAGTAAAAAAAATACTTAGGCTCATAGCAGGAACACATCAACAGTCAGCATTAATTTTTCGCATCCAGTTGCCCAAAAAGTGAGAGCGAACCATTGCCCACTAAGCACTCATCTACCTACTTTGATAAAGAAACTGGCTGATGAAGATCGAGAAAGTTAAAGGTTACAACGACTAGAAAGTTAGAGATAAGGACACAGTGCTAACAGCCATTGCAGAGTTTAGTAAACCCTGGCCCGAAAGTTCGAGTGTACGTTTTGCGACGAGAGATAAGCTAGTGAAACTATAATGAAAATGCGAACGGCTATTCATATGCAGGAAACAGATACTTCCGCGTTGAGAACTACGAAAAAGTTCAACTTCCCAACAAATTGCCTTCGTTCTTTCCTCATACAAAGCCTGGTTAACCAGGTCGGGGCTCACTTTGCATTGACAATCAACAAAACTTCAATGGATATTATTATTTCTAATCCAAACTAAACAATAACTTACAGATTTATATAACGTTGCCATACAACAACGTCAAGGCTAGTTTATTAATGCTCTTAGTCTTAGGTAGAACTCAAACCGCAAGTATAAAATATCAATGAATTTCATTGATGCAGATTAAGCATACAACTCATCAACAATACATTCCCCGAGGAAAACTTTGATGCTACGCGGTGAACCACAACTGCCTTCAGCAATCAGTGCTCTGTCATTCGCAGCCATGTGAGCTATAATTTTGTAAATCATTTCAATCTGCAGCCATAAGATATGTAAAGTTAGCAAAAGATTTGTCATAGAAATGCTTTCTTAAACGAGATTGAAGATGCTAAACATACATCTTCAGGAGCATGGCAACGTTCAGCAACTTCGTCAAGCGTTAGCGGTTCGACAGGTTGTTTACAGCTGAAGAAAGAGAAGCACAATGGTAATAATCAGTAAAAGAAATTTTGTTATTTAAAGAATCCCATCAAAGAAACACGAAAATACAAAAGTTCAAGTCCCGTTGTAGAACTATATATATACTCTCACTTCCATTTTGGCAAGCATCAGAAATTAATTTCAACACCCAAAAAGAATTTATTTTAATAGGAGCTGCTTTAATTTTATTCTTTCATTATAGAGTCGAGGGTATTTTACAATTTTTCCAATTTCTGGAAACTCCGTGCAACAGGATGTGATTCTTAATTTATGTTGTTGTATTTTACATATCTACATATTCCAGTCTTCCCCACAATTTGTTATTTCCTTGAATTATTCGTTAATTATTTTTTTTTATTTTTTTGGGCCAGGAATTGGAATTTGTAAAGTTAGTGATCCATCTTAACTGAAGTATAAATCCAAGACTTTGTCCTTTCAGAACAAAGCATAATAAAATCCCAGATTCCAAATATCTGAATCTTACCTAGCCTCATTGAGTACTGCCAGAACCCGCTTCTGGAGAGCTAATACTTCTCCTGCTGCCTTTTTTCCAGCTTCCACACCTGAGTTATTAATTAAATACAGACACACACAGAGAAAGAAGAAAGTCATCAGCAAGATGAAATGATTTAAAACACACCAAACAAACTGAAAGATCGTGTAAATGGATGCCAAAGTATGGTGAAATTACAACTATATTCTTGTACCCTCTCTCTCTCTTTCCAGGCTAGGAAAAACCTTCTAATGCTCACTTCAAGAAACTAGTTTCTTTGAAAAAGTAAACAAATATTTACCAGGTTGATGGTAAGCATTAATATTGACCATTGAGGCATATATCCCAACTGCTCGCTCATAAAGTGCTATAAGAGCTCCCACCGATCTAGGTGTCACTTCTTGCACAGTGACTGTAATGGACTCCCGGTTGTTTGCATACAGAGCTGATCTTGTTCCCTGAAATAATAGAATAGATGTTATTAATAAAAGGAGAACATAATCATGAATCTATAGATCAAAAGCCACCAGGCAGTTTTTAAAAATGGTTCTTGTTGATTGTTTAACCTGAAGCATTCCAAACAAGTAGTCACCACAAGTGACACCTGGTTCAAGCTCCCAATCATGACCAGGGGGTCTGTCACGCAACACTTCAATGAATGTCACGAAGAAATTGTGCACACCTTCTCTCAGTTGTTGAATGTAACTAATAAAAACAGAAGGCAAACAAGAAAAGGTGTATCAGGTCTAAGCATAGCACACATCAACAGATATGTTTTACAAACCTAAAACCATAAGGAAAACTTACGCATGCTGATCTGTGCTCCCTTTATTTCCATAAACAGTAAGTCCTTGATTCACCTGCGAAATCAAGGAGTCAGAAATTCAACCCATATGACATTTTGATACCAGAAAACAAACAGACTGAAACATCTACTAAGTGAAATTTATATCTGAGCAAGAACTTATAACAAATTGCCATATAAAGGGGCTCTTCTGTTCAGCACAGCAAGCTGCAAAATTAACCCTTGGCTTGGCAAGCCATTTTGACTTGGTACTAATAGTGGTAAAGTTTGATGCAAGTATTCCACATGCACTTGGCTATCTTAGGGCTATCTTAGAAAGTCAATGCTTTCCACTTGGCTACTTCACATACTTCTGATTGTGATATCTTACTTGCCACTCAAACTAAAATATTAAATAATTATACTAACAATAAAATTAAGAGTGATCTATGAGATAATCAACTTTCACCTCACACTAAAATAAATTAATGTACGAAAATCAAAATATTCAGAATATTTACACATACCCGATTACCATCAAGATCAAACTCCTTCCCAAGTGATTCCATGACCAGCTGCTGTAAATACCTACTAAATAGTAATAGGCTGTCCTTGTAAGGAAGGACAACCATGTCCTGCAGAAAGTTGATGAAACATGAAATAAAAGCAAAGCCATTTAAAAATGAGACTGAAATAACACAATCTTTACATTCTGCTGATATTAAATATAGGAAACATTTGAATACCTTGGAGCCTATGCCATCAGAAGCCCAATACCAGCATAAAGCAAGTAATGCAGCAGGGTTATCCCTAAGCTGAAAAAAAAAAAAATATTAATACACATGCAACAGACATGGACCAGCGAGGATCTGAATTTGAAACCAATTAACAGAACTACTCAAAAAGCCCCTTAGATCCCAATTCCCACAATTGGTAGATAGCAGGTGTCAGGATTTCAAAGTCAGAATCATCAAGTTAAAACTGAAGTTATAACATTTTGAGAAATTCTTATATCTCAGGCAATTAACAACAGTAATACTGGAATTATAACCATGCTTCAAATAAAAATTAAGAGCTGATACATACCACAGTTGTCCTATTAGCCTCATCCATCAATGATGCACCAGCAAGCATTTCTCTAATATCAATTCCCTGAAGTGATATTCACTTGACAAAATTAAATGCTGCAGCAAATGATAGAAGATGCATTGAACTCTTCAAAATAAAGATCACTCACCTGAAGCGCCGCTGGAAGCAGGCCAACAGCAGACATTTCGGATGTCCTACCACCCACCCAATCAAACATAGGAAATCTAGCCAGCCAACCTTCAATTCTTGCAGTGTTGTCCAACAATGAATTTTCTTGGGTTATGGCAACACCCTGCATAAAGATAGATGAAAGAAACATATTAGGACCTTGCCAAAAAAAAAAGAAGGACAAAACCCACAAACATAATAAAAGCAAACCTTGCAAATAAAGCATAAGCCTATAACTAAGTAAAAGGCAAAAAGTTTCTATTAAATTCAAAATATTTAAACAAATAAAGGAAGGTGGCCAGTAAAATTCTCGATGCATCAAGGACTCAACAATATCAATTAGTTTGAACACATGAAAATGCCAAAAATCAAAGCATAAGATTAAAAAGAAAACAGAGTAATAACAAACATCGGATATAATCATATAAAGCTGAGTATGTCCACTCACTACATGCAAGCCAATCTACATCACACAAAATATTAGATTCATAATATCTTAGTCTTCAACCCAAGCTGCACATCAGATTTTGAAGAAATTTTTGCATGTAGTTTTTGAAAGGAAAATTAAGCAGAAACAAGAACCTGAGATCAAGACCTGTTTTGCAAATTCCAGGCCAGCTTCACGAAAGGCCTTCTGTACTTCCAATAACCCATTTCTAGTTTCAGGCGTACCTCCACTCTGAATAGAGTGACAATTAATTAGCTACTCATCAAATACGAGATTCTTAACAACAATATATAAGAGTCATCAGAAAAAGGAGAAATGAATGTTAAAGACCTTTGAAATTACTATTACTAGTGTAGAAGCCAATTCGGGGCCGAGTTGAGCAATTTGATGGTCAATTCCAGCAGGATCTGTATTGTCGATGAATCTTATCTGCCAACAAGACAAGAAATTATTATTCACACATAACAAGACCCTAGATGAAATATAATAAAATAGATTTAACAGCCTACTGCACCTTGATTATTGCGTTCTATACCTAGACCATGGCATTGCAAACTTGGTAGTTACCAGTTTGGCAATTCCTCTCTTTGCATAAAGATAGGTATGGGCCTCATATGCTAATAGAGAACCTAGAACCTCAAAAGTCCATTAGACAAACATATTTACACCACTCAGGAAAGTTCTATATAAAAAGAGGTTTATTATTTCACTATTATTTTTTCTTCAAAACGTGCCTGGAGAGAGGGAAAGGATACTGCTTGTTAGCAATAGCAAAATGAGGAGAGAAGCTTTACACAAAACAAAATCCAGGCCACTGATAAATATAAGGAAGGCATGTAAAATGTAGACGACATTATAATGCAAGAAAATCTGGTTGGAAAACAATCACACGCTGAAAACTTAAAGAAAAAGAAAAACCAAACGATGAACTGATGAAGTAGCAAATTTATCACAAATGGATGTCGCATAACATAGTTAAAAGATACCTTCAAAGGAGGATTATCAGGAGCCAATGCCTCTGCAACAAACTGTGGTCCAAGAGCTGAACCTCCAATCCCAACAGAGAGTATAGAAGTAAAACGACCCTCAGATGAAGATGGCGGCTTAATCTGCAATTTTAATGTCAAAATTTAATAAATAAATTAACGATCGCCTCATTGTGAAAATTTTAATAACCGAGCTAAATCAACAATATAATTTTTCTGATGAAAGGTATTAAAGGGAAAACAAACTAACCTTACCACTGACGACTTCATCGGCAAAGCTGCAGACAGCATCAAGCGTGGTATCAATCTGTGTCTTCAAGAAGGAGGTTGGCGCGAGATTCGAATTTCTCAACCAATAGTGTCCAACCATCCTTCCCTCGTCGGGATTCGCAATCGCGCCCTTTTCCAACTCCTCCATCGCCTTAAGAGCCGCCAGAAATCTCGGCTCCATCTCCGCAATAAACTCATCAGTGAACCCGATCCGGCTCACGTCCAGGTACAACCCAAGCTCCTTGTGCTGGTACAACCAGTCAACGTACCGTTTCCATAATCCATGTGGATCTTTCTCTAACCCCTTCTTCGCATTCATAGGTACACTGTCGTTGGTGTTCGATAAATCGGAAGACACCTCACGAGCGACGGACTGAGTTTGGATCAGGCTGGGCGTCCAAGTTGGACGAGTGGGGAATGCGACGAAATCTTTGCGGACAGAAGGAATTGGTTTACTGGTTGGGTTCTTGGGGTTGAGAGACGGAGAGGATGAACAGAGACCAGAAAGAGAAGCCATTGAGAAATGAAATGATTTGATTTGAGCGATAATAACTAGGGATATTTTGATTTTGATTTAAGGTCTGTTCATGGTTGGCTGCGTTTTGGTTTTGGTTGAGATTTTTGTTAAGTGACGATGGTAGTGAAATGTTTTTTGTGCTGGTGAGTTGGCGGCTTTGTCTTAATGGTCAGTGTGCTTTCGATCACACGTTGATTGGTTGGTCAGTCGATGTTCCAACTTCCAACTTCCAAATTTGTTCACGGGAATAGACCTTTGCTTAGGGTTATATTACGGGAATACCCTCGCATATTCGCCCATAAATTTGATTTATAATTTGACTTGCCAAATGGCCCAAATCCCTGAAAGCAACTTGCTAGTTTGTTTTTGTTGACGAAAATATTTCTAATGTTTATGTAGTGTTTATAAAGAAAATTAATTAAAATCATATTAAAAATTGATTTTCAATTCACAAATTTAAATTATGCTTAAAGCGTTTAGTGGACCTTAATAATTTAGGTAGAGCATGAAACGCCGTCGTACTTTATTATTTAAATTTTAGAGTGGGGTCACCCAATAACTAATAATAATTAAAATGACAAGCATTTCAACCGAAAGTCACACGAACCACAGTAGCCATTTTTTCATTTTTGCAGCTTGACCTCTAGCTCACGACTATTCTCACCCAGACTGTTGAGGCACTTGGTAGCAGCCACATATTTGTTAAATAATAGTTCTTTTAATGAAAAAGGTATATTGAGCATCAATTTTGTTGGTTGACAGCCATTAAAAGTGTTACTTTAATCCATCTATCCATTGATGTCGGGATATGATCATATGAACGTCATAGGATGTAAATATATATAATCTAATTGATATTAATTTCTACACTATTTTTCATAAATTTCAGATATAAATCAGGCGGAAATTAAATTTAGAAAAGTAAATGAAGAGGTTACTTGATTTCTTTCCTATTATACCTGGGATTTGGGAAATCTCCTATTCCTTTATTATTCTCTGTTTAATTATTAGGAAATACTGTGTATTCATGAGAATTATTGTTTTCCTATAGTCAACATTGCTGCACTACATATAGTTCGTCGCTCATGTACATCATTACAATTTACAAGCCGCAACTTCACTTAAGAAATCATGGATTCCGCCATAGTCCACCCTGCTATCTCAATCCCTTTTCTCTTTATTCTTCTAACCTTTTTATCCCATGGAATAATAGCATCTGCTTTTCTCGGAATCAACTATGGCCGGATTGCCGACAATCTCCCTCCGCCAGAAAAAGCTGTTTCTCTCGTTCAATCCATTGGTGCCAGTAAGGTGAAGATTTTTGATGTAGAACCATCAGTCATTACAGCTTTTGCCAACACCAATATCGAACTCATTGTTGGACTTGGAAACCAGTACTTGCAGCAGATGCGAAACCCCGATGCAGCTCGAACTTGGGTCACAAATAATATCCAACCCTACTTGCCCGCCACCAAAATCAGCGGCATCGATGTGGGCAACGAAGTTTTGACACTCAGCGATTCTGTACTTAGAATTTCTTTATTCCCCGCCATGCAAAATGTTTATCAAGCATTGGTTGAATTAGGTTTAGAGAAGCAGGTTATTGTCACCACTACACATGCGTTAAACATTCTTGAAAATTCTTACCCTCCGTCTTCAGGCTCTTTTAGGCAAGACTTAATGGGGGAGATTGATAGTATAGTGAAATTTCACAAACAAACCGGTTCTCCGTTTTTAATCAACGCTTATCCCTTCTTTGTTTACAAGGAGAATCCTAAAGAAACGTCTCTTGATTTTGTTCTCTTTAGGCCAAGCCAAGGATTTGCAGACCCTTCAACGAATCTTCACTATGACAACATGCTTTTGGCTCAGGTTGATGCTGTGTACAATGCACTCGCTTCATTGGACGCTAAAGAATTGGCTGTTCACATCTCGGAGACTGGATGGCCGTCAAAAGGAGACAATAATGAAGATGGAGCAACGCCTGAATTTGCCGAGGAGTACAATACGAAATTGATGAAGCTTGTCTCTGAAAGAAAGGGGACGCCTATGAGGCCAGAAAGCGAATTGAATGCATATATATTTGCTCTGTTTAATGAAGATTTGAAGCCTGGACCAACCTCCGAGAGAAATTTTGGACTGTTCAAGCCTGATGGGTCGCCGGCATATGCGCTACAGCTTACCCAACCCTCTGGAAAAGACTATGGCATTGGCACCAACCTTACCGGGTCGGGCATGGACTTGGGATTTTTTTTTCCGACATCATTCTCCCCCCCAGAGAGCAGTAAAATTCCCTTTTATTCATTGGGGAAAAGCTGTCATATAATCCTCCAACTTTTATTTTATTTTTTTCTTTTCTGAGTTGGTTTAGTTTTCAGAAGTCTTCTATAACCTTGCAAAATTGTTGCTTTGTCTGAAGCAATTAGATTAATTTTGAGCAGAACAACATAAGCATAGCAGTGGCATCATTCAGATTCAGATGCTACTTTTATGATCACTAATTTGAGTTCTTCAATAATACTCTTAACTTTTACTTGTTCAGCTAGTTTTTGATACAATTACGTTGTTTTGACTTTTGATACGTTGGCTTCTCCAACTCCAAAAGGATCCCAGTCATTAACAATTATAAGCAGAATTAAAACTGTTCCGTGTGCTACGTCTAGACTTGGACATACACAGTTTTAGAATGCAACAGGTTCAGAGCCCATCTGAAAAAGTCCAAGTTTGAATAGAGTTTTGGGTGGGACAAGCGTGCATGCGTAAATCCACCTTGCTAAATTGTTCCTCGAAAGACTTAATAAATCATCTAATATGCTTTCATCTACAATAATCATTTCATAAATATAGTGTTTGCATTTGTATGTAGCATATCACAGAAATACCCTAAACGTTATTACTAATAAAAGTGGAAACTTACATTATTTCTTTGTTGAACTCAATTATTTATTCCACTTTGCATTATTTCTTTGTTGACTTCACTTATTTATTTATTTTGATTTATATTAATTCATAATTGCCATCCACTTGATATTTATTTACACGTTCTAACTTGTAATCATATCAATTTTTTTTTTTTTTTAGTAACCAGGGGTGTCTGGGTCAATTTACACATATCTCAATTAATCTTTTAAGGTCCTGAAATTAACGAGTAACGATCGGGTAAAACCCCTTAGTGGTCACTTATATTAGCAACTAAGGGGAGTCAAATTTAAGACCTCTTGAATAATAAATCCAAGAATCCTGGTTGACCGCTCGGCCACCCAGTAGTGGTTCTTGCAAGCATATCATTAATCTAAGTCGTGCGATTTAATATATATATATATATATATATATATATAAGGGGGAAATTAAAAAAAAAAAAAAACTAGTTTTTTCTATGGAAAAGGCTTCTCTAGACTCTATCTTTATCCTTTGGGATTCNATCTCAACTAATCTTTTAAAGTCCTGAAATTAACAAGTAACGATCGGGTAAAATCCCTTAGTGGTCACTTATATTAGCAACTAAGGGGAGTCAAATTTAAGACCTCTTGAATAATAAACCCAAGAATCTTGGTTGATCGCTCGACTACCCAGTGGTGGTTCTTGCAAGCATATCATTAATCTAAGTCATGCGATTTAATATATATATATATAAGGGGGAAATTAAAAAAAAAAAAAAAACTAGTTTTTTCTATGGAAAAGGCTTCTCTAGACTCTATCTTTATCCTTTGGGATTCTACCTGTCTTTATTAATTTGACCTTTTTGTCCTCCACCTTTCCCCTAATTTAGTCCATATAAAATACCGCACAAATCACTATTCACTATGATGTTTAATTCTATGACCTAGCCTCATTGTCATTTTATATGTACTTACCTTTATGTATTTCATCCCTCTACCTAATTAATTACTTAACAGAGGCCAATTCTCTCTGCTAATAAAAGATTTCATCAATAAGTTACACCCCTTTTTAATAGAAATAAAAATTAATAATTTAAATAATTATAAACTAATAATCTACTTAATAATTATCATTATCTTTCCATGGTTTTAATAAATTTCGAATGATTATGTTATACTCTTTTCACAAATCTATCCTCTAACTAATGACAACGATGTAATATAATTAAAAATAATAGTAAAATTATAATTCAATTTGAATCATTCACTGAATATTAACCATGACAATCTAATGTTAAGAGCAAGTATAATTGTTTACTATTTAATTTTGTAAATAACTTAATCATATAAAACATTACTTTTGAAGTGCATATAACTCAACTCATTTTTCCATTCGGTCTTTGCTTCTTCCCTTCTAATTTCATCACAAATTTTCATAAGACATCAATAACATCAATTGGTAAGAGAAGAATTTGAATTGAAAGCAAATTTGGTCAAGATTTAGGGTTTAGGGTTTAGATTTAGTGTTTTTCGCTCTCTTCATATTGAAAAGATTTTTTCACATAATATGTTTTCTTGTGAATTAGATGTTATTTTCGACACATGTACTCAAGTTTTGTTTCTTATAGATTTATTCAAGTAGAAAAATTTTGTGTTATTGTATTATTTCTTTTCAGCTTCTTGATATTGTAAAATTTGTTTTGCTCAAGGTTTGGGGGTTTTTTAAAAGTTTTCACTAGTTGATTGGCAAATAATGGAAGAGCCACGAAGATCCCTTGGCAAAAATCCTCAGTCTGCCACTATATATATATTTCAAATATGAATTAGGATTCACATTATAAATTTATAATTATATTTGTTATGCCTAAAAAATCAAGGTTGATGTAAGCTCACGCCAGCAAGGGCCAATAAGAGTTTAGGAAGGCTTTGTGTCATCTAGACGCTGCCACATTGCGCAAGGACGGAAGAAGTAAGGCTATCGTTAGTGTGGCAGGTGAAAGTCAGACTTGTGAGTGGCTAGGAATTGTTCGCATGCCAAAGCCATATGTGATTTAAGGATGTCTCATATGTAGACAACCAATGGGAAGCGGGTTAGGAATTGTACCACACCTGCCCGATTGCAAAATCTTGATTACTACCCTTGAATCCCGTGACTATAAATAGAGGGCTCCTCTCTCATTTACAGGATTGGCTCATTTTTAGTCTTCAAAAGCATACTCTCTCTCTCTCTCTCTCGATTGTAATTCAGCTCGTTGCACGTGACCTGACTGTAACCATCTATTAATACAACCATAATGGACGTAGGATTTGCTTTTGAGCATCTGAACCACTATAAAAACCGTTTCTCATTTATTCTTTAATTGCACATTTTCATATCACGTGTAATTTCTATGTCCGCTTAACACTTTGCACGTGCGAGTCCTTGGTGTTAAAATCAAGCATCAACAATTTGGTGCTAGAAGGAGGGCACTGATTTAGTATCCGCTCTTCATCAGAAACTCTGACCGATCGGTCCTATCCATCAGCAAATGGCTCGCGGTTTTGAAGCTAAGCGAACTAACCTCGACAATGAGGAAATCCCCCGGGTACAGGATGACACTTCTCTCGAAGTGCCACCAGTCCAGTAGAGTACCATGGTGAATATTCCTTTGAGCTCATAACTTGACTCAGCCGTGATGAATTACCTGGAGAGGTTCAACAATACTCTCCAAATGGTTAGCCAAATGTTAGACCGTTTAGATTGGGTCGTACCACCAGAGTCCAACAAGGCAGTGCCACTGCCAAAGACACTTGCAGGTCGCCGAAAAAGGGCGAAAACCCATACCGCACACATTGCAGTACATAAAAGTAAGGGAAAGCAAGTGGCGAACAGTGGACCGAAGGGCTTTGAGGGACTAGCAAACATCAGTCGCGCAACAGGTAGAATACTCGTGGTATTGCGACTCGGCGACATGTCGCAACATGAGCCGTCCCACGCCACGTCGCATGGGCACTCCCACAAAAGTGCAAGGTAGGGAGATTCCCAATATCGCCAAATTGATGACCTCGACCGTCATCATACAGGAAACCCCTGTTGTTCGCGGGTCAATTCTGACCACCGCAGAGGTAGGAAAAACTCCCCGAGCCATTCAATGCCTTCACACGGCCCCAGCCAGCATGTGTTAAGGTTCGCCGGAGCTTCCGATTTGCAGTCTTTCCTCAACTACAACTGTAAAGGTCGAACCCACGTTGCGGAAAGTGATCCTTAGGTAGCTCCACTACCTCAGATTGAGGAATTACAACGAGCTTTAGATCAACTTAAGGCTCAGTAGAATAAGTGTGGGAAGGTCGTTGAGATGTCTCCTTTTTTCTCCAGTAGTGTTAGCTGTTCTTCTCCGATTAACATTCAAAATGCCCGACATGCAAGCGTTTGATGGATCTCTGGTCCATAGGATCACCTTTACGTGTTCAACGACCTCATGGAACTCCACCAAGTCTCTGACTTAGCCAAATGTCGCTACTTAGTAGTAACTCTGACTGCCCATGCCAAGCGTTAGTTCAGATCACTTCCTGTGAGATCTATCAGCTCGTGACAACAAATGATCTCGTCATTCTTGAGACACTTCCAAGCGAATAGGAAGTTCTCGATGTCGTTGAGCTACGTAAGCAACATACGACAGGAGAGGAATGAATCTCTCTAGTCTTACATAGATAGATTCCACAGGGAAGTCCACAAAGTGGCTCACACTCTCGAAGAGTCTGTTTGGACTCTCATTATCGTGGGGGTTAGCCCATAAACTAACTTGTGGAAAGAATTGCAATCTGAGGATGAAGTTTCCCTCACTCGCTTCTACGACCTCATTAAGAAGTATCTCCAAATCAAAAATTCTATGGTCGCCCTTAATCACCATAATCCCGGTTCTTTGACCAGTGCTCCTGACCGAGGGGAGAACAGTAGAAGGGCTGATCACAGATGGGCTAATGACAATTAGCGGAAAGGAAAGAATCATCGATTTAAGCCAAAAAAATCTTATGTCCAAGTTCCTCATCGCGATCGAGACAAAAGTTAATAGACTCATTTGAATGCCTTAGTGTCGGCTATTTTGGATAAGTTAGAGGAAGCTAGCCTACTCAGAGAGCCAGAGCCCATGAATAATCCCCTCTTAGCTAGGAACAACAAAAAATACTGTTGCTATTATCGAGATAATGGGCATCACACTGATGAGTGTCGGGCTCTCAAGCAAGCAATTGAAGACCTCATCAAGGAGGGGCACTTCAAGGAGTATGTTGATGGTCCGACTCCCGTTCGAGAAAAGGATCAACAGGAATAAGGGAAGAAGCGTCGTGGTCACAAGGGTCTCTACTGTGTAAGAATCATCTTTGGATGACCACACCTTGTGGGGAATTCTCAAGATGCCTAAGAAAGGTATGCTCAGGAAGCTCGTCATGACCCCGTGAGTGTGATGAGCATGACATCGTGACCCGCTAAGGTTCGCAGAGAAGAGGAGATTACCTTCTCAGAGAAAGATGTGGTGTGATTGCATCATCCTCATGAGGATGCACTCATCATCGTGCCTAAAATAGGTCAGTGCGAAGTCCA